GAACATCAATGCTGAGATTATTCAGGTAGAGATCAGAAGAGGAAAATAATGGAAGATGTTGACATCTTGCTTAGAGGAAGTGAGGGGAATTTTTGCTGATCTGTTAATAGCAATGTCCATTGCACTCCCAGAGCATGTATCCCATAACAGAGAATGTCCCAAGACTTGTAAAAATGGTATCCAATAACCACATCTAGTGATTCACATGGAGACAAATGATACTGCCAGAAGGCACCTAGTAAGCATTGCCAATGATTACAAGATCTTGGGAAAGAAACAATTTATAATCCTGGCTAGGGATCTAGTTCATAAAACAAAAGATGATAAGAAGATACTTGTCTGACATTTTGAAAGAATAATTAACGAGAGATTAAATTAAAAAAGTATTGTGAGGGAGGAGTTAATCAACTATGTATGTCAACCAATCTAGATTCCATAGAGAGACAAAACATTTTAGAAAGAAGACTAGTAGCTGACACACATAGTTTCAGATGAGACAGAAATCAGAGAAAAATGTTATCGAAATTCTTTACCTAAAATGCTTCTATACAAATGCACAAAGTTTTGCCAATAAGCAAGACAATCTAGAAGTCCAAATGTAGAGAAATATATCTGACCTCATGGACATCACTGACCTTGGGTTTGAGAGAAGGCAGAACTGCCAAATTCTTATTTTGTTGCTGTTTTTTCTTTGTAGATAAATGACCTTCGACTTGGAAGTGACCAAATAAAAATGACTAACAGGGAATTGATTCACAAGAAAAGTAAGGAAATAATAAGATAACACTTATCTACCTTTGATGAATTCAGGTTACCTGGGCCAAATGATTTACATTTTTGATTAGGGGAATCATATCTATATGATTGTGGAGTTAATGATATTTGAAAAATGGCAAAGAACACAATAGAAGACCAGGACTGGAGAATAACAAATGTCCTAAAGAAAGAGAAAGACACAGAGAGAGAAAGACACACACACACATACAGAGAGAGAGAGAGAGAGAGAGAGAGAGAGAGAGAGAGAGAGGGAGAGAGAGAGAGACAGAGACAGAGACAGAGATAGAGACAGAGACAGACAGAGAGAGACAGACAGACCGAGAAATTCTGATTCCTAGGAAGATTCTGGGTTTTTGTGATTATTGCTTCCTTTTCAATATGTTCACTAATCATCTTTAAATAATATTCTGAGTCTAAGGAAATCTTGACAGTCTAGAACATTGGACTGAATCTTATAAACTTTGATAGAGATAAAAGTAAATTTTTCCACTTAGGTTAAAAAAATCAATTTCACATGTACAAAATGGAGAAGCATGGTTAGACAGTAGTTTGCCTGGAAAAAAAGATGTGGTTTTTAGTGGATTGTATGAAAAGTATGAGTCAAAAGTGTGATATGGCAGCCAAAAAAAAGAAACAAAACCCTAATGAGATCTTGGGATACATTGAGGGGGTGGATTCCAGAAATAGAACAGTGATAGTCTCACTGTATTCTGCTTTAGTCAGACTACATCTGCGTAGTTGTGTTCAGTGCTGTACACCACAAATTAGGAAGGACATTGAAAATCCGGAGAACATCCAGAGGCTAGCAAACAGAATGATAGTGGGCTTTAAGATAATGTTATGTGGAGACTAGTTGGAGGTTAGCCTAGGGAAGAGAGGATTCATGAATGGGCATGATGATAGCTGTCTTCAAGTACTTGCAAGGCTATAATTTGTAAGAGGCATTAGTCTTATTCTGTTTAATCCTAGTGAGAAGAAATAGGAACAACGAGTAGAAGCTACAAAAAGATAAATTTAGGCTTGATAGTAGGAAAAACCTTCCTAATAATAACACCTGTCCAAAAGTGGAATGGGCTGCCTCAGGTGGTTTTCTCAGTTGTTCCTTCTTACTGGAGGTCTTCAAGTATAGATTGGACAATAAGTTGGGGATGTTGTCGAGAGCACTCATTTTAAGGTATGGGTTGCACTAGATGACCTCTGAAATTCTATAAGTCTGTAAATAGAAGAGAAATATGGATAGAGCTTTGTGAGAAATTCTTCGTTAAAGAGGGTGAGAAAGTAAAGGAGAATTTGAAAAGGATGTAAAGAAGGAGTGTGTAGTATCATAGGAGCCAAGAAAGTAAACAATATCCGAGAAGGAAGGAGAGGCAAACTGTTTCAAATACTACTTAAAGGTCAAGGAGGAGAAGGATTGAGAGACAAGCTTTGGATTTCGTATGTGGAGATGATCAGTCCCCTTTAGGAGAGCAATTTCATGGGATATAAAAATCCAGGTTGCAAGGAGTTGGGGAGCAAGTGGTCAGTGAAGAGGTAAAGACAGGATATTTAACTTTATTTTTCTAGAAATTTCACAGTGAAATGGAAATGAGGTAATAGCTTAAGGCAATGTCAAGGGATGGACTTACAAGGAAGACCTGGACATGTGTATAGGTAAAGCATATAGTCGAGTAGGAAATATTGAAGCTGCACAGAAGATAAGTTATATTTGTTGCAGAGAGGATCTGGGAAATGCGAAAGAGGACCACGGGCAAAAGTGGAGAGGCTAACTTTGGTTAGAAGGAGAGCTCTCACTTCTCTAGAAATAAAATGAGAAAAAGAAAAGAGTCCATTAAAAGAGAAGGAATTAACTGGTACTTTTTATATTTGTATTGGTATTTAGCAACATTGTGGAAATTGGTTCTAGTCCACGAAATAATCCAAACCTTTGTTCTTCCTTGTGAGACAAAAGCCTGATGAATGAGAACTTCCCTAGTACCATTTTTTTTTTGCTCTTTGGTGAGGCAATGGGGTTAAGTGACTTGCCCAGGGTCACACAGCTAGTGAATGTCATGTGTGTAAGGCCAGATTTGAACTCAGGTCCTCCTGACTCCAAGGCCAGAGCTTTATCTAGTGCACCACCTAGCTGTTCCCCCAGTACCATTTTTAAATAGTAATAGGAACAAATAAACATGTTCTTGTCCTGTGCTATATAGCATTATTATTGGACACTTGTCTAACATAGATAAAATCTCACCCCTGGGGTTACTAATGCCTCCCTCTAAATAAATGAGTCTTTCTAATGTGATTGAAATGTATAAAATGAAGGTGTCCATAACAGGTATAGTTATATGTTCCATAAAGGAGATGACCATTGTTGGTGAGTCAAGCTAGGAAGAAAGTTTTGCAGGTTCATCCAGGGATCACTTGCCCTATTTCTAGGGCAAGTATTGGCATTAAATATCTCATGATTGCTCCAATTAATTTTCCAATTTTCAATGTACATATTATGAAAACATGTTATGTTACATGCTTATATGTATTGGTGTGATTTGTTTTAAATAGCCAGATTTACAATTTGTATAATCAGGTAAGCATTTTAGAAATTGACTCTAGCTACTCCATTAAACTCCATAAAACAAATGGTGTTTAACCACAGCAAGAAAAAAAATGGATTATAGACAGTCATTAATGAGCTTCACTGAGGATGGAGGTAAATTTTATATACCTTCCTGCTTACTTGCACATGAATCTTTCTATCCTCTCCTTTTCTTCCTCTTTGACTCCTTTTTCCTTCCCTTCATTCCTCTTTCACTTTTTTCTCTTCCCTACTCAATTAGAGCTCCATCTATAGGCTGTTAGAAGCTACAATCCCTCCTCTTTAGAGCAGCAGGCTAAAAATTTCACTCTTCTTTCCTTTGCAGTTTTACTCCACAGAGGAATTTAAATCCTCCCCCCACTCCCCGAGTTATAAATTTAGCAACACCTCAATATCCAACGTCCAGTTTAGGCGGGAGAGGGGGGACGGGTTGCGGGGAGAAATGAAAGTCACGTTTGGACCAAACTGATAACTGCAGAGGTCTCTGGTCAAAAAATAAGTAAATAAAAGGGTGGAGTGGGGGAGGGGAAAGTCAGGCTGCTCTCCCTCAGAGGCTGGAACGCTGTCCAGATTCTGGTGCTGAAATTTTGAATCTGTGATTTCCAGAGCCACGTTTATTTAATCCTGAGCGAAATCAGCAAATGGAGGGTGGGAAACAGAATCGGGTTCCTGCGTCTGTGGATTTGATTTAGAGGTTCACTTATTCTTTCAATTTAGGATGAACTTCTTCCATTGTGCAAAGTAAGAAAAACTAGGGGCATTGCTTTAGAAGAGTATCCAAGTAAAGGAACCTAGAAAAGTGTGGAAAGTAAAGGACCAAGTTTTTGTCCTCATAAGGGAAATTACTGGATTTATGATCTCTCCCCAGAGGACAAAGACAAGAATGTCTGGGACCTTTTGCCCACTTTCCGTCTCAGCCCTGAGAAAAAAGCAAGCTCTTTTCAGGTAGTCTATCACACCAGATCTTAATTTGCATTTATTTTTAAAGCTCAGATATTACATTTGACAACATATTCAAGGTCATGCATGGTTCTTATAATAAAGTTTCGTGTTTTGTTTTGTAGTGGTGATCTATGGGGGGAAATGGAAGGAAATGAACCAGTAAACCAAAACGGACATATTTGAAATCCTGATGGTTTTAAAAAGACAATACATTGCTATCACCCCTTTCTCTGAAATGGGCAGCGTTGATTAAGTGTTTGACTTCTTAGGAGAGGCTATTTACCATTTCCCTAGGCTTGTATTGTTAAAAGATTCTCAACTCAACAACAGGCTTTTGTGATTTCTGCTAGATACTTGCAGAAATCAAGTCTCCAAGGAGTACACTAAAAACAAACTAGTCAGACCTGTACTGCAATCATGAGTGCCCCAAACTGCTCGGTACTTGGGGTACTCAAATGGGGCATTTCACTTTGATAGATGTATATTCTTTTCGTGGCAAGATAGCTACAGAGACAGAAAAAGGCAGCCGCCTTCACAGAGCCAAGCAAACGGTTTCACGATTTTTCTTAACCCCCGCTGCTTTATTTTGGCCGCTTCCCTACCCCGCCGGGAATACCATCAAGATCTTAGTCCAGGTAGATCTGACGTCAAGAGATGGCTTTCGTCGATTTGACGTGTAAACACTCATTTCCATTCTGGCTCCGGAGGGTTGGGGCTCCATTCAGCCCAGAGACAGAGGCGCTGTGCTGCGCGCTCGCTGGAAAGCTCCTACTTCTGCACCTCCTATCCGTTAGCATAGCAACGAGGAGCAAGAAGTGATCCAACAGCGTCTGAATCTTGAAAGATTGATTTCTTGTTTGTCTTTCTCCTATATTTGCTTCTCTTCCCTCCTATTCCCATCGTGTGTGTGTGCAATGGGTGTGAGATATTGGTCTCTGCAGTATATTGCTTTTGCTCTCTATTTCTCCTGGTGTGCAATGTACAGTGGTAGAGCAGAAAAACAGTTCGTTAATGAATGGGCAGCGGAGATTCCTGGGGGTCTAAATTCAGCCAGAGAGATAGCAGAGGAGCTGGGTTACGACCTTCTTGGACAGGTAAGCTTGCACTTCACAAGTTACTTTCTGGCGCTCGGGGAAGGTGTAGTGTCTATATGTTGGGGTCTGCCGGTCCTGCCTATCTTCTAGTCGTGTTAACACTAAATGAGGTTTGCTCTGCTTGACTTGGTCCTTTCTCTGTGCGGGCTGTTAGATGCATGCATTACTTGCCGTTTCTATGGGTGCGACCCGGCAGAAACATGTTTGTGCAACTGGATGCTATTCTCTTTCCCACTCACTGCCTGTTCTCAGATCGAAAACCTTTCCAGAGCGGTTTTTAAGTGAAATCTCTTCCCCTTGCCTAGGGAATTCCCAGTGTACCCAGACTCCCGGGACCCGCCGGGCAGGAGTCCCGACGCACGCAGTTCCTAGAGCCTCGACCCAGTCTGCGTCAGGAGCAGCTGGCTGCTTCCTTCTTTTCAATATGGCAGCGTCATAAGCAAGGCAGGCCTCGGTGATATTGGCTAGCCGTCCCAGGAGCTGCAAGGGGGCATGCCAGAGCTACTGAGGTAGAACTCGGCCTGAGAAGGGTCGGATTCCAAAGAAGCTCCGGGGGTGCGGAGATTGCCGGGAACTGTCGGGGAGCGTTGTTCTGAATTCGGGGACCGCCCCCCGGATCCCAGGCCCCTCCCTGCCCACCTTTTCTGGTTGTACAGATGCTTCACCGGGAAACTTGAGAAGTCTGGGCTCTCAACTTTTCCCGGTTTACTCCCCCACTATCCCCCCACATACCCACACACCCGAGGCTCCAAACTACCTAACTTTGGGGAAGGGACTCACTAACCATCGAGTCCTTCTCCCAAGTGCGTAATCGCTATGGCCAGGGGTCTCCCTTCCTGGGAAGGAAGAGCCTGAGAAAAAGTGGGGCTCAGATTCACAGAAAAAAGTGGCGAATAAGAGAGCCGGGGGGAAGTGTTCATATGCCAGGCTCAGTGACAAATTATTCTCTTTCCTAAATTAAAATCCCCGCTCGCTGCCTGGTAAGTTACTGTGAGCAGGGATGAGTGGCTGGGTAGGTTGAGCGGACGATGAGGGAATTGTACTTTCTCCCCCTATTCTTCCTCCCTTTTTTCTTCCTTTTCTTTTTTCATTTTCTCTTTCTTTTCTTTTTTCTTTTTCTTTTTCTTTTTCTTTTTCTTTTTCTTTTTCTTTTCTTTTCTTTCTTTCTTTCTTTTTTTGGCGCGTTTTTCCGGAGGTTGTGGTCGTGACGCTGCTGTAGCCACAGATGAGTAACTGGATTTACGTTTCAGTGTGATTGCTAATTCTATTCACTGAGACCAATAGGGAATGGAAGTACATTGCACTTCCAGTGGCTACATTTTTCAACTTGGGTCTGAAATAATCAGCAATCCCACTATCAAGTAAAATCCTTTAGAATTCCCAGTCCCTGGTACAGGGAGGAACTGGAGGAAGAAAATGAGGACCAAATATAATCAGAGTCTAATATTCCTTTCCCTTTTCCCACGTGCTGGTAAAAAAAAATCTTTTCTTTAGTAGAACTACAAGTCCTCAACAAATATTTATGAAGTTCTCCTAAATGCCAGGCATTGTGCTGTAGCCATGGATACTAAGATGAAAAATGACAGTCCCTACCCTCAAAAAGCTTACAGTCTAATATGGAATGATAAGGCATGCCCACAGTTACAAGGGCATCGTGGCATAATGGAGCCTAGGAACAATATTTTTTTTGGAAGTAGTGATTTCATTGGTGTAGGCGACTCCTAACGAAGAATGCTGATCATCATCTGTTCTACAACTTGTAGACTTAGATAATTGCCTAGAGGCAGGAAGGCATTTAGTGACTGGCCTAGAGTCATACAAATGAACCGCAGCCCTACTGGAGTGTGAGAATGAGAAAGGACTAAATATAGTTATCTCAAGACTTGAATCCAGGTTGTTGTTGTTGTTTTCTTCTGTCTCTGACACTGCCTCTAATATGAAAACAAAACCATATGATAATCCAATTCAGTTCCAAACAAACATTTATTAATTGCCTACACTTTGTGCAAGGCACTGTGGTATGACCTGAGTGTCTGAGGCAGGGTTTGAAGCAAATTCCTTCTAGCTACAAGCCCAATTCACACAGTTGCTGTCCTCAAGGTTTTTACAATCTAATATTAAGCTTTAATTTTTTTTAATAATGGGGTAGCTAGGTAGGGCAGTGGATAGAGCATCAGCCCTGGAGTCAGAAGGACCTGAGTTCAAATCCAGACACTTAATAGTGTGACCCTGTGCAAGTCACTTAATTCCATTGTCCTCTTCCTTTACCCCCCAATTTTTTAAAAATTAGAACAAATGAAGAGCTGTCACCTAGAGATGGTTAAAATAGCTCATAGTTATTTGCATATGACTTGCATTCATGGCTTCTTTCCCCCTATGGAATTTCTCCATGGAATATTTATTATTATTCTGCTTAACACCACAGTTTTCCCTTCATGATTATTTCTTTTTGCAAGGCAATTGGGGTTAAGTGACTTACCCGGGATTACACAGCTAGTAAGTGTCAAGTGTCTGGTCTGAGACTGAATTTGAACTCAGGTCCTCCTGACTCTAGGGCCAGTTCTCAATCCACTGTGCCACCTAGCTTCCCCTCTCTTCATGATTTCTTACACAATCCACTCTCATTGACTTAGATAGCCATTTGCCCTAGTTTATTACTCAACATGGTTAAGAGTGTATGTGAAGGCAGAGGTAGAACTGGGAGGGTCACCAGTGAGTGACTTGAATTATTAAGGACCAACCATTTGTAGGACACGGTATCAAATGCCCAACATTTGTCTCTCGTGCCTAGCACAATTCCTTGAATATAGTTGGCATTTAATAAATGCTTGTTGAGTCAAATATTTATAATGGGGGAATCAACTGGATTAGACACACTAAATGGCAAAGCATTTATTGGGAAGATTATTTTTCCCAAGGCATTTGTAGTGACTAAAACTAACTCTTTCAATGAAAGTATGATCAACATAATCATTCTGACTCAAATGTATCTACCTATAACTGTGACTATGACAATAACACAAATCATCAGCATAGCCTTTACAACATTATTTAAGTAGTACCCAAGAAGAAAAAACATTTATTTCCTCTCAGTTATATTGAATTCATCAAATATTTATTGAATCTCTTCTGTGCATCTAGCATTGTGGGAAGCAATATCCTATGAAAATGTTCTGCCTCTAAATGGAAGCAGACTCTTTTCCATTAATATAGAATGAACCAAAATGTTCCACAACTGAGGCCCATTATATTCATGTATGTGCTACCAAAAAAAGAAGGGTGAACATCAGCAGTGTGATATAGAGGAAAGGGCACTTTCAGTCAGGAAAACTCAGATTCAAATCCCACCTCAGATACTTAGCCACCTTAACCTTTCTTTTTTTCAGTTACTTCAAACGTAAAATGACAAGGTTGAAATCAGTGGCCTCTAAAATCCCTTTCTTAATTCTAGTGTTTTCCCTCTGTAGATTATCTCCAGTTTATCCTGTATAATTGTGTTTATACATGGTTGTTTCCATATTATCTTCCCCTTTAGACTATGAGCTCCTTGAGGGCAGGGATGATATTTTACCTTTCTTTGTATCCTCAGTGTTTATTAGAGTGTCTGATACATGATTTAATAAAAATTTGTTGGCTGACTGATCTTCAGCTCTACCTCTATGATTTTATGAAGAGGCAAATCCTAATTTAAAATCCAAGGAACAGTCTAAATAAAAGCCGTCCTTTAGAGGTCAATTGAAAATAGTTATGTTTGTCAGATATGTGCTTCTTTGAGAAGTGAATTTTTTATTTTGAAATCTCTCCACCTTGTAGATTGGATCACTTGAAAATCACTACTTATTCAGGCATAAAAGTCACCCAAGACGGTCTCGAAGAAGCGCCATTCACATCACGAAGAGATTATCTGATGATGATCGAGTAAGTTCTTTGATTTCTCTATGAGCCAATGTGGTGGCTTGTCTGCCTACTCAATTCTAATGAAAGCCAATGAACTTTTATTCTGATGATTAGACTTAGTCTGTAATTTTCCTTAATGAAAGTATATGCTTTCACTAAAAAAATATTATTTCTGGGTTAATTTGTGTGAGATGATAAACATGAATGAATATAATGTGCCTATTGTATACTTCTTTTGATACTGCAAATATCTGTGATTTTGCCCCTGTGGCTCCTTCCAACCCAGAGCTCAGTCCCTTTAGGGACTTGATACAAAGTCTTTGAGGTTTGTTATGGCACCAAATTTATCTCCCTATAGCCCTCCTGGTAACGAGTCTCAGGACCAGCAGTTTGCTAACACCTGCCAGAGATGATTTTCGTTTGTTTTGCTTTTGGAATAGCCTCCAAGAAGCCAGGCTTACCTCCACTGTTCAACTTAAGACAGAGGAATAAGGATTCAATATGTCTATCAATCAATAAACATTTATTAAGCACTTACTATGTGCCAGGCACTATGCTAAGTGCTGGGAATACAAAAAGAAGGAGAGGGACAATTAACAGAAGGAAAACATTGGAATTAAGAGGGGTTGGGGAAGCCTTTCTGTAGAAGGTGGGATTCTAGTTGTAATTTAAAGCAAGCCAGAGAGGTGAGTAGGTGGAATGGAGGAAGGAGAGCATTCCAGACATGAGGGACAGAGAAAATGCTCAGAACTGAAAGAGGGAGTGTCTTGTTCCTGGAACAACCAAAAGGCTAGTCACACTGGATTGAAAAGTACATGTCTGGGAACAAGATGTAAGAAGATTGGAAAGGCAGGAGAGGCTAGGTTATAAAGTCTTTGAATACCAAACAGAGCATTTCAAATGTGATCTTGGAGGCAATAGAAAGCCCCTATAGTTTATTGAGAAGGGGTGTGTGTGACATAATTGGACTTGTACTTTAGGAAGTTTGTATTTCTATACAGACATATATGTGTGCACACATATATACTTACACATATACAGATATATACATATGCAAGATGTTCCAATTGCATTAGTTTAAAACTGTATATGTGTATGCATCTTATCTATCTATATATGTATATATATATATATATACATATATATACACGCATATATTTAGTGGAGGACTATATATCATACATGATATAATTATGTATAATTACATATAAAATTTTATTATTCCTCATTATATCATTTATAATACATATTCCTCCACTAAAGTCTTATATATCTTACCTCAAATACAGATATTTGTTATATAAACATATTTTAAAATACCTAACCGGTCTTCACATTAGACCAGGAATCATGATAACAGATTTTATTTACATAGCAATTTATAAAAAGCATTCCCCACAGCAACCCTCTGAGGTTAGTAGAGACCCATTTTGCAGATGAGGAAATCGATTCCAAGATAGCTTAGGAGATTTATCTAACATTGCACAGTCAACAAGGGGCAGAGTCAACATACCAGCCCTGGATTTCTGACTCTAAGTCCAGTGGTCCTTCCATTGTACCACAGCTAGGTTCTAGTACAAATTTAATCTACCTAGTAACTCTCAAAGACATTTCACAAGGCTAGAGTACATGTGTACACACACACACACACACACACACACACACACACACACACACACACAGAGAGTGTCCCAAAAGTCTTAGTGCATTTTAAGCTATTAAATCTTATTTTAAATGGCTATTCAAATAGCTATATTATTATTATTTATTGAAATAACTACTTTAAACTATTAAAGACTTTGGGGACACTATGTACACATACAGAAACATACCTATATTCATAATCAGATAGAGGTTTTTTTGTATTTGAGGACTGATTGGCAATATCATTAACTATATATAATATTTTGCTGTCCATCTGAACTGTAGTATTTTCCATGCTGGGCACATTGTGCCTATTGTCCAATTAGCAGTTAAAGCTGCTTTTGCTCTAGAGTATGCTGCTGTTTTGTCTATTTTCTTTTGGGCTATATATGAGATATCTTGCCTCTGATTGATACCTTGCCTTTGGAGCTATTTGTTGTTAGTACTTTTCAACATGGTTAGAGTATTCACTCTGTTCATCCTAATATATATATATATTTTTATTTAAAATGGATAAAATATTTTAATATGAAATACATAATATTTGAATTAATTAATATTATCATATAATATTAAATAAACAAAATTATACACATATTACCCAGAGTGATGTATCATGTGCCACATGATCCCTTCAGAAATATCCCCACCATGGGTGGCCACTGTACTTCCAGCACGGGAAAGACAGGGAGACCCAGACTCAAAAAACAAAAAGAGCATTGATTTTGGAGTCTGACAACCTATGTTCAAATCACCCCCCCAAAAAAATTACTACCTATGAGAACTTGCACATGTAGGAATTTACATGCAATAAATGATCATAGATTTAGAGTTAGACAAGATGTTAGAAACCATCAAGCCCAAACTTCTCAGTTTATAGATGAGGAATCGATTTATTTTAGTTTTACCCTCCTCTAACCTTTATTGTTCAGCACTATGTAGCTACATCAGATTATACTTACTAATTTAGAATTTAATAGATTTGACGATGATTATGATGGTGATGATGATAGAATTGCTATAGCTCATTTTATCTTCACAGCAACCCTGAGAAGTTGGTATGATAACATCTTCATTTTACAAATGAGTAAACTAAGGTAGATACAGGATCAGTGACTTGTCCAGGGTCACACAACTATTAAGTGTCAGAGACTAGATTTGAACTCAGATTTTCCTGACTCCAAGTCCAGTGCTTCAGGAGCTCAAAGGAACTTTAGAGGGCAGGTAGTCCAATCCTCTGTTGTCCTTCCCTGTATCTTATAATATGATCGGTATAGGGAAATCCAGATGAGAATGTTCCCTACACCAATGGAGATCAACAAATGGTCTTTAGTCATCTGGGGAGAAGTTGATTGACTTGCTAAGGGCTAAACAGCCAATATGTATTAGAGATGAGAACTGAATTCAGTTCTTCCTGTCTCTTGAAGTAATTTGCTAGAGATCATACAAGAAGTAAGACTTGAAATCTAGTTCTCCTACCTCCATATCCAGTAAGTAGTCTTTTCAATGCTGCCTCTCACACTCCTCCAAGGAAGGGGCTGTGTTTGGCATCTGTATCATCCCCAAAGCTTTCTATGCCAATTTAAGGATCCCAAGTAATCCATAGAATTCCTGAGGTGGAAGCTAAGATTGAAAACATCTTTAACAACAACAGCAGCATCAGCAATGATAATGGCTAACATTGACATAGAGCTTACACAGTGCCAGCTATGCTAAGTGCTTTACAATCATTATCTCATGTGATCCTCACTAGTCCTGGGAGGTAGGTGCTATTATTGTGCTCATTTAACAAATGAGGAAACTGAGACAAAGGCTAAGTGACTTGTCCAGGGTCACACTTAGTAAATGTTAGAGGCCAGATTTGAATTCAGGCCTTCTTGTCTTCAGGCATGGAACTCTATCCACTATACCACCTAGTCAAGAAAGTAATCTATCAGCAGGAAGTAGTATAGACAGTATTTATTTTTAAATAAGGACTAGATGACCTTTGAGATCCCTTTGAGATTCTATGATTCCATAATTCAGTGAATGCACAAGTCAAATTCCACTCTCCACCTGAATCCTCCACCTCCATCCTCCATACTTGTCCCAACTCTGACATATTGGCTGGCTATCCAGTTCACTGTCAAACTCAGGGATCCTAATATGGCAGCCCAGGTTGGAGAAGGCCAAGGAATTTTCTAGATGTGTATAGCATGTACCTTCTAGAATCATGTGGATTCCAGAAATGCCATTTATACTCAGTATCTCTGTATAGGGCAATACAATCTAGCGGAAAGAACACCAGATTGAGAGACGAGACCTAACCTCTAGTCCAAGTCCTGCCATTAACTATTTCACTTCTGTGCTTCCATTTCTTCCTTGGTTGGTTGGTTGGTTGTCGTCCTTTGTTCTTGAAGAGGACCAAAATGACATCTCTATCACAAGTCAGGGTAGTGTGTCCAACTGTGGCTGATAAGACCAATACGAGCTTGAAAGGCTCTACCACAGTTCAGGCACAAACAGTCTACATGAACATTTGGAGTGGAGAAGTCTCTGAATTTGCACATCTCACATTTCTTTGTAGCTACTGAAATTCTGCTTCAGTGGTAAAGCTCAGTGCCTTCTTTGATGTAGGCAAGCTATACTAGGCAGTCTTTTGCCAGTGTCTCTCACGTCACACAATTGATTCAAAAGTTCTTCAAAGAGGGGCGGCTAGGTAGCGTAGTGAATAGAGCACTGGCCTTGGAGTCAGGAGAACCTGAGTTCAAATCCGGCCTCAGACCAAATACTTGACACTTACTAGCTGTGTGACCCTGGGCAAGCCACTTAACCCCATTACCTAATCCCTGCCCCCACCAAAAAAATAAAGAAAGTTCTTCACAATGTCCTCATATTGCTTCTTCTGACCTTCATATGAGCACTTGCCTTGTGTGTATTATATGCAAAATAGTCTTTTAGGCAAACATATTCTTGGCATTCAAACAACATGGCCAGCTCATCAGAGCTTCACTTTCTTCAGTAGAGTTTAAATGCTTGGCAGTTTAGCTTGAGAAAGGACCTCAGTGTCTTATCTTGCCAGGTGATCTTCAGAATCTTCCTAAGACAATTCAAATGAAAGCAATTCAGTTTCCTGGCATGTCACTGGTAGACTGTCCAGGTTTCACAGGAATACAACAATGAGGTCAGCACAATGGCTCTGTAGACCTTCAGTTTGGTAGGCAGTTTAATATCTCTTTTCTCCAATACTTTCTTTTGGAGCTTCCCAAAAGCTAAACTAGCTCTAGCAATACATGCATCAACATCATCATCTGTGTGTACATCCCTGAGAAGTTTACTGCTGAGGTAAGTGAACTTATCCACAGCATTAAAAATTTCTCCAGTTGCTGTAATCAGTGGTTCCATGTATAGATGGTACAGTACTGGCTGATGGAGAACCTGTATTTTCTTGCTGTTAATTATTAGGCCAAAATTGGCACAAGCAGAAAACAATTGATCCTCAGAGGCTGCATTGAGTGCATGATCATCTGTGGACAAAAAGTCATGCACCAACTCACCCTCTACTTTAGTCTTAGCACTTTAGTCCTTTGTAAATTGTAAATTGAAAGGGTTGGACAAGATGATCTCTGAGGTTCCTTCCAGCTTCAACATTCTTTGATACAATGATTCTTTGTGAAGTAGATAACACTAGAATGGAAAAAGTAATGGGTTGGGATTTAGGAGGTCCAGGTTTGAGCTGCAGCTCTGTCCTTAACTAACTCTATAGCTTGAAACAAGCCACAGCTCCTCTCTGGGCCTTAGTTTTATTTGTTTTGATTTTTTTAACCTGGATGAATGAGTTGGACTAAATGATCTCTAGGGGTCCCTTCTAGCTCCAGCATTCTGTGTCTTTGTATTTGACAAACCCCAGCAAATATCTTTCAGGGACCTTTTCCAGTGCCAACTTCCTTTCCTCTCCTCAGGCCAGATCTCTTTTTGCAGGCTGTGTATCAGCATTCACCTGGGGTCTTGTCTCCAGGCACTGTGGCCACACATGTTTGTTCCTCTGGTTGAATGACAGCACATACTGAAGCCAGACTGACCTCCACAGCTGTCATCAACACAGTTCAACCCTCTCCCTCTGACCCCTTCTTTCAACTCACAGAGGAATGGGTGATTAGCAGAATAATGAGAAACTAAGGCTTTTTGAATTCAGAGTATCCATAGAAAAGATCAAATAACTTAATTTTATTCTTAATGTGTTATTGCCGTCTTGGAGCCATTATGGTCTTTGCAGGAAAACAAAAGAGAGTGTGAAGAAGAGTTAAGCCTTGATCCTCAGAGGATAGCTACTTATCCTTTAATAAAATCCTATCCTAGATAAATTTTATGATAGGATAAGTAATATTCCTATTTTATCTCCACTTTTATTGCTAGCCCTTTTCCTTTAAGATACTTCCTGACTTGGGGGGTCCTCAGTTACCTTATCCAAATTCTATCCATAATAAGAATGTTTCCAATTTGCTATATCATGTAAATTTCATTCTCCCAGAAATTAGTGCGGGACTGCTAGATGAATGACATTATCTGTAACCATGCTTCTCAGAATTGTAAATCAAATCTCAATGATTGCCCCTTTTGATTGCTCCGACTGACGTTTGCAAAACTAACTCTAAGTTTCATTTTAGTGCATTTTGTTTACATTTTTTCTGATTTTCATTCAAATTATCACTTAAAATGAAATGCAATTATGTATTCACTTCCTAAGATTGTACTAGAATACTCTCCAATTGGAAGTGACCCTCTTCTATAAAGACAAGCATTTGTTCCCTAGCAGCCTACTTCCAGAAGACTAATTTCAATGATGGGCAATCTATTCTAGGCATTGGATATATTTCAAGCTGACACAATATTGCTTTCAGATATATGCAGTTTAAAAATAATTCATTAGTGAGTAATTTCTAGTTCCTGAATTCCTCCCAATGTTTATGGTAGTTTCACAGCACATTTTCTAATTGAAGCATCAAGATGAACTCAGTGATTGATTTTTAGAGTTTATTTCATATTATTTTCCCCAATTTTACTTTTACATTTAACTCATGAGTTCTCACTTACATTTATTAAATCCCAACACACACTGGACTTCTACTTTGGGTACAACAGAGGTAACATTTTAGGTAGGGAGGAAAGGTTCCTATCGCCCAGCAAATGGGTCTTACTAGTATAAATAGTAAGCCTTGCTTGTTGAAAGTCTTGCCTGGTACAAGAAAGACAATTAAGGCTATTTACCATGCATTGCTATTTGTTCAAATTTTAGTGGACAACAGTGAGCTCAGTGTGAGGCAACAGTATGATAGGGCAGCTAAGAAAGTGAATGCAATCTTAGGTTTAAGAAAGACTTTATGTTGAAGACTGTGGAGGTTCATGCAATAACCCCATCCTCTGCCTTAGTCAAATTAAATTAGGAATATTATGTCACTTTCTAGACACAAGGTTTTAGGAAGGAGAATGTCTAGAGGAAGACAATCAGTATGATGAAGGGTCTCCAGTTAATGACTGAAAGAACTGGGAATGTTGTGCCTGAAGAAGAGAATACTGAAAAGACACAACATCACATCCTGTAACTATCTGAAGGGCTGTCCCATGGAAGAGGAAAATGTCTTGTCCTACTCATCCCCAGAGAAGAGAACCAAGGGAAATGAGTGCAAGTTACAAAAAGACAAATTTAGGTTTGATGTAAGGAAATACTTCCTAACAATTCGAGCTATCTCAAAGAGGAATGACCTGCCTGGGGAATTAGTGGGTTCCGCCTCAATAGCTGTATTCAAGTTAAGTCAGGATGACTACTTCTCAGATATGTTGTAGAGGGAATTCTTGATTAGATGCAGTTTGGATTAGATGACCTCTAAGGTCCCTTACAGCCCTGAGATCTTGTGATTCTGTGAAGAAGTAGAAAGGATATTGGAATGAAAGTCAGAAGACTTAACTTGAAGCCACAGTTTTCACCATTTACTAATCATATGACCTTTACTTCATGCCTGTGAACCTCACCTTCCTTATGTGTAAAGTGGCAATAATACTACCTACGTCATACAAGTGTTGTGACGATAGTACATACATGAATGAGATAGTGTATATCAAACATTTATAAACTGTAAATTGCTCTACAAATCTCAGCTTTTACTAAATGATGCATAAACCAAACACATATGGGTAGGTAATCCTACCCAAAAGAGATTGAGTGGCTAGGCAAATAAATAGAGACAGACACAGTTTGGGAGTTAAGACCTTTTAAGTTACTAGAAAAATCACCTGGTCTACTTACTTCATAGGAGTGTTTCGAGGAAAGTGCTTTGTTACCTTAAAAGTATCATACATATATAAGCTGTTTATTATCTGATGGTGTGTATGCAGTTGGAAAAAAAAACAATTAGAGAATCTTAGAATGTTTAAGCTGCAAGGAAGTTGGGAGATTATATAGCCCCAACCTTTTAAATGAAAAATGAAATGAAATGAAAAATTTTTATTTTATTTTTAAATAAAAATAAAAGCAAATTTTATAATATACACTGACCTTCATCTCAGAGAAATGGAAAAATACACCTCACTTCATTAGTCAAACACTTCTTTAGATAGTGTAGAAACATCTAAAATATTGAGTAGATTTTTTTCTTTCATTGAAGTGCTTATATAGAAAAAGCTAAGATAATAAACCATAAAAAAGGATTATCCTTTCTAAAAGCTATGGTCAGTGTTTAATTTTTTTCTTTTAGGGTATTATTATTTAATATTATATATGTAGTATTTTGTATAAGGCACTTATGGTATACTTTCTACCAGGTGCATATCATAAGCTCAAATCCACAGAAGCATAAATGTGTGATTATCCTGTGATAAGCCTATGATGCACTAGGTAGGGTGTGAAGTTGGAACTTTAATCCTTTTCTCAGTTAATCCCCAACCATTTGTGTGACCTAAAGATAATCGTTCAATGGCTTTGTGCCTCAGATAACATCCTGTTACAGACGTTGTCTATAGGGAAGGTGATTTTCATATAATTTAATCTATTTACATAATATGTGATTCAGTATTAGTGATCCATATGTGGGCCTGATGGTCAATACAGACATCTTTCATCACAACTTTACTCTCATGTTATAAGCTGTTGTCCTTGAGGATGAGAGACTTAGAATCCTTTCCTCACAGTTTCTGCTTTGTCAGTGCAAGTATATGACGAGAAATCAAATCGTAGTCATCACTAGACTCTCCTTCATTTGTTGAGTCTCTCTGTCACAGTAGACACATTTACAATTAAAGAATACCATAACTTCACATAAAAATGGACATTGGAAAGTGTGTGCTGATAAGCAAAGGTTATGCCTTTGCCTCGTTTGTAACCACAGGGTAAATAATTCGAAGGAATCATCTCTTTGGGGATGGTTCTTTTCCTCCTTGAGGTGTGCTTTGCTATTACAAAGGAGATGCTTATCTCTGTAGTTGGCATCCTCTTTGCATTGGTTTAAACTGAGGTCAGATAGTCCATCTGTCAGATCTCTGGTGGGGCTAGGATCTGATGGGGGTGAGGAGAGTGGTATTCTTGGGAAATGTTGTAGTTTTACCTATCCAAAAAATCTCTGCAGGTAACATGGGCTGAGCAACAGTATGGAAAAGAGAGAAACAAACGTTCTATCCTAAGAGATTCAGCAGAGGACCTCTTCAATGACCCAATGTGGAATCAGCAGTGGTATTTGGTAAGTCTTTACTCAACCATGGATGTGCATAGGTCAGCTATTTTATATTTTCCTATTGACATATTGGGGGATGCAACAACCCTGTGTGAGCTTGGGTTAGAGCCAAAGGATTCTCACAAGATCTCAAACTTAGTCCCTTGGGTGGTGGAAGGGAAGAGAGGGAGGTAAGAAAATTCTGGTGTTTTGTTGTTGTTCAATCATTCAGTTGTGTCTGACTTTTTGTGACCCCATGGACCATATTGTCCATGGGGTTTTGTTGGCAAAGATGCTGAGTGGTTTGTCATTTCCTTCTGCAGTAGATTAAGGCAAACAGACATTAAGTGATTTGCCCAGAGTCACATAACCAGTAATTGTCTGAGGCCAGATTTGGATTCAGGTCTTCTGACTCCAGGGCAGCTGGGTGGCACAGTAGATAGAGTGCCAGGTCCAGCAGGAAAATTCATTTTCCTGAGTTCAACTCTGGCCTTAGACACTTACTAGCTGCATGACCCTGGACAAGTCACTTAATCCTGTTTGCCTCAGTTTCCTCACCTGTAAAATGAGCTGGAAAAGGAAATGACAAACTGCTCCAGCATCTTTGTCAAGAAAATCCCAAATGGGGTCATGAAGAGTCAGACACAACTGAACTACACCTTCCTGATGCCAGGCCTTCTGCTCTATCTACTGAGCCATCTGGTTGCCTCTAAGTTCTGGTGCTACTTTCTACTAAATCCCTGGACAGAATAATATCCCAGGGCCTTTGGATTATCAGGTGGAGGTCAGTTCTTTTGTCTACTCAGCCTTTGAGAAATTGGGATTTATTTCCTTTTTGACCCTAGGCAAGTTACTTAACCACTTTGGGATTCATGTAATCAATCATCTGTAAAAACGAGGTAGTTAGACTAGGTGACCCACTCAGGTCTCTTCGTGTTCAATTAATGACTTTAGAATGGTGACCTGAGTTTAAATAATGCCTCTGAACATACTAGCTCTCTGACAAGTAACAACACCTCAGTGCTCTAAATCAGAGGTGTCATATGTGCATGAGGTCCCAAGTACAGCCAGGACCAGATTAAAATGTCATTGGAAAATATTTAACAAAATAAATAAAATATAACAAAACACAAATAACATTGCATTTTAAACCTACGTCAATTCTGGTTCCACAAGGATCCTTATGTATGGATTAGTGGCCTCCATTTCTATTGGAGTCTGACACCACTGATCTGGGCAACCTTCTGTGTTTTAGTGACAGTGCCAGCTTACATTGGTAAAAGAAGCTTCTTCTTCTGAGAGTACCAATGGAATCAAAAGTTGAATTCTTCTCCCTATGTATCGAGGGGTTTTTTTGGCAATTTTTTTTTTCATTTGAAACTTAAATACAAAACAAGAAAAGGAAAAAAAGAACATTTCCATGTACACAGCAGAACATAAGAGAGAATTCAACATAAAACATAAATTTTCATTTCAAGAAAACCTATATAATAAATATTACACATTGTTTTCAAAGACACCCAGCTTTTCTGTGCTTTCTTCTAGGTTTCCTTTTGTTCTCTGCTGTGCACTTTTAACTTTATTTTTATTCCCTCCCCCCCAAGAAGGCTATGAATATACATACATATGCATAGATATCTATAGACCTGCACATATTTATACACACACACTCATATACATATATGTAAAACCATATTATACATATTTCGACTTGTCACATCTTTCTCTGGAGGTGGATAGCATCTTCCTTCATAAGTCAAACTCCATGTTTTTTCTAAATCAACCAACTCATCATTTCCTACAGCACAGGAGTATTCCAACACTATCCTATCCTATCTGAGAGATAGTCTATGGAAGTCCCGCCCTCCAATTTTCTATTTTCCTTCTATTCTTGGCTACATTGGTTTTATTTATAAAGAAATTTTTAATTTAAAATAATCCCCTCTGTATTATTCAGTAGAAGAATACACTTCTCCATGATTCCTAACTCTATCTCAGTTAGTTACTTTTCACAGTGATGAATATAGCCTCCCTCATTGTTCCTGAGGCTGAAAGTCCATTCTCTTAGGAATTTGATCAGACATGTGCTATGCAATTTGAACACCCTAGTTTCCTTCGCAGCACACTTTATTGGCTCCTGCTTGGTAGGCTATGGTTTCTATATATTCCAAGCCAGTAAATGGGAGAAGGGTTTATTCAGCTTCTGATAAAAATTTTTATTTTTGTTGCATACAAGTTACTGACTCCTTTGTTACATATCTGACAACCTCTATTGGTGTTTCACTTCCATAGACCTCCATTCCCTGACAGCCCAGCCATGCAGTTCCATACTCTATAACTTTAGAACACAGAGAGATGGAAAGAGAGAGAGAAGGAAAAAGGGAGGGAGGAGGGAGAGAGAGGATAAGAGAGAGAGAGAGAGAGAGAGAGAGAGAGAGAGAGAGAGAGAGAGAGAGAGCCCTCCAACATAAGCTTATTCTCCAAGTCACATGAATTTGGAAATATGCAATTAAATGGCATCACTGACTGTCCATTGCAGGTTGCCCTTTTTCTTCAGGAAACAAAGATGAAAACACTCTAGAGATATGACTATGTATGCACTAAGCAATCAAAAGCATAGAGGAATGGTAATCTGTGCCTCACTTTATTTTTCCAGAGAAAAGGAATATAGGATATCAAACAAAGCTTTGGTACACGGAAAGCTTGAACATTTCATTAGAAAAGAAAGAAAATGATGAGCAAGTGGCTTCTTCAAAGCCTCATCCTTCAAAGAGAAGGGGCCCCAGGGTGATTCATCCTTTCAAGTGATTTTCCACTGGAACAGCAAGAAAAAGTGTACCACCCTGATGATTCACTCTTCAAGACCTACCCTCAACTTTGGGTTTTTTAACCTAATTACCTTCTATTAAATTGCCCAAACACCCAAGAATGACACCAGGGAAAGCAAACACAATTTTCCAAGCAGAGGCTCAAGTTAAGCTCCCAAATGAAGGAAATGAAGCCCAAATCCACCAATGATTCTTGTTTTTCTTTACTAGCAAGATACCAGGATGACTCCAGTCTTGCCCAAGTTGGACCTTCATGTGATACCAGTTTGGCAAAAAGGAATAACAGGAAAAGGAGTGGTTATCACCGTTCTGGATGATGGCCTGGAGTGGAATCACACCGACATCTACGCAAACTATGTGAGTTTGGGCTCTCACCCTCTGCCTATGAACAAGACAGTGGTGGACAGCTCCCTGCTCAGCCTCACACACATAAAGGAACTGAGCATTTATTTCCTCAGGCAGAAGCCTGTTCTGCCTGGCCTGGGTCACATGATCCAGAGCCTCTTGTCCCTTTCCCTCACCCTTCTGCCAGCTTATCATAAACCTGCTTTGTGTTACTGGGAGTTGAATAGAATTAATCTCCCAGGAGTAATCTCACAATGGATGTGTGTGGGCATCAGACCTCAGGCATATTCTCTTGTCACACAGACAAGGTGAATTATTAAAAATCTTCCAGACCTTCTCTGGGCAGAAAAAAAAACAACAAAAAAAGGCAGCCAAACAAAATTTAGATAACTAAATCTACTTTTTAGAATTCACTCTTGCACTTCTCCAAAGATCAGTGTCTTCAATCATGGTGCCGTGTCATATACTTAAACTGTACATCCTCCCCAGTGCTCAGATCCAAAGCAGGAGGGCCATAGTGAAGGCAGAGTAAAGTGAAGTGAAGTGAAGCAGTGAGGCAGAAAAAAAGCATTTATTAAGTGTTTACGATGTGCGGACCCTTTTCTAGGCACTGGGGATACAAAGAAAAAAAAATCAGTCTCTGCCCTCAAGAGACTTACATTCAATCTAAGAGACCCTATGAATGTATGTAAAATGTTTACAGTATAAAAACAAGGTAATCCAGAGGCTCTTTTAGGTCTCAATTAGTGCAAGTAATGAATCCCCGAAGTGGTAACATTATTTTAATTCTCACTAAATATTCCCATTGGGTTGGAACCAATTACCATATTTAACATAATTATAACTGTAAATAGTGCTGGTGAAAGCTAAGGAACAGGAATTATGGATAAGAGCTGGAAAGGAACATACACATTTCTTTTTTTTTTTTGAAGGGGGGAAGATGGCTAATAGGGGAATTTGTTTGCCTTGACTATGCATATTTATTTTTTAAAAGTGCTTTTTCTAAAAAAAGTGGGAGATGGGAGAGAACGAAAATAGATTTTTATTCATTGAAAAATTAAATTAAATTGAAAAAAAGGAAAATTTTAAAAAAGAAGTCAGGGACAACAGAGAATTCCCAAGAAACGGAGGTGGGTACCACCCTTCAATTCAGTTCTAGTTTGTGAGAATGCTCTGCCCACCTATAGTATACAAAATAGTTTTTTATCCTAGACCAAGAGGCCTGAATTGCATGTTTTATCCCATGTTCAAACCACAGCTGGGGGCTCAGTGGGGAATAAAATTGGCATAGACAGGAAGAAAGGGTCCAGGGCAACGCAGTCTGATGAGATTCTAGGCATGGTCTAACATACCTTTTCCCCCCAAGCTCTCAACTCTAGGTGCTCATACTAGCATAATTCTTCTGGCAGGCACATCACCCCTAAGAAACCCTAAAGCAGTGGGGGGACACAGAACTGTGTAAACAGAAAGGCAGAAAACTGGGCTCCAGTGGATCTTAGTTCTAGTTCCAGAATCTGCCACTGACTAGCTTTGTGACTTTGAGCATGTAATTTAGCCTTTCTGGGCCTCAGTTTCATCAACTAAGCTGAAGGGATTGATCTAGAGAGTAATTTAAGAAGTCCCTTCCTGCTTTCACACACTATGAATACGTAATAGTTTCACTGTTCACCAATCTTGTGATAAGCAATTTGCCATCTGTGCCAGAAGAGTGAAGGGGCAAACCCGGAGTCAGCCTGGGGAGAAAGAGCTGTTAACAGGTGTGTGTATGTGTGAAGAGGAGAGAGAATAATAAGGTCTAGGAAAAATCTGGTTGCCTGGTGATGTTCAATAAGTGGAACCTAATGGCCATATGTGAAACACACACATAGCACATAGAGACGTAAGCAGCACTGACTGATTCTCTGCTTGGCCACAAGGCCCTAAGACTATTACTACTTCACTTTCTGGGGCTGTAGTGACTGTATTGGACCACCCTTCCCTAAATAGTTAAAATACTAGTTACTGGCTTAAAAGTCTTCTTTCTGAATTGCCTAAAAAGATTCTTAAAATCTACAGTGGATTGTCATCATGAGAATACATTGATTGTGAATTCAAAATTATATAGGTAATTCACTGTCCACGTTTACATTGTACCTTACGGCTATGAAACACTTCCACATACTTCGTTTTATTTGAGCCTTGCAACAATCCTATAAACTAGGTGGTGCCAATACTGTAATCTCCATTTATAGACTGAAGAAAATAAGACTCAGTAGAGATTTTGTGACTTGCCTGAAGTCACATGGTGATGGTACTAAGCCTCAGGCACAAGTTTTCTGAGTACAGTACCCTAAAATGAGACAATATACATAAAATGAGATAATATACATAAAGCTTTTTGCACACCTATAAAACACTACAGAAATGTGATTATTACCTCATTCTCATTTCCATTATTATTCTTGCTGCTATTAATGCTATCACCTTTTCCATGACTTCAGGCTCCCTAGCATTCAGACCCAAGAGAAGGGATATTTAAGCAGATCACTCTCTTATTAGTTTAGCTGTATCTATTACCTGGTTCATTTATATGGCTAGAGGATGCAAGATGTAAGCACGCAGCTCAGGCTAGATACTACTGACTTACATTCCTCTGAACCATCTCCCAGGGGAGGGTGGGTTGCCTTTGACCAGTCACACCGTAATGCTGATTTGCTGTTTCTGTAGGACCCAGAGGCCAGTTATGACTTTAATGACAATGACCGTGATCCGTTTCCCAGATATGATCCCACAAATGAAAACAAGTGAGTAAATGTTCGTACTTAGAGAAATGCATTTAAATGTTTTCAGCTTGTTTGGGCAAAATGTATTATAAATGACACATGCTTTTCTGCACTCTGGTTACTCAGAATGCATAGTGCTTCATCATTTAACTGTAGAACTCTTTGTTCCCACCATCGATGTCACAATTGGCATTTTGTGTTGTTTTTTAAAAGAAACCAAAACACCCACTATTTTTGCATCTGTTGTTGCATATGGGAATTGATGGAGTTCCCAAGTCAAATTGAACATTTCAGTTATTTTATGAAGTTACTGAGTATGGTCAGCTGAGCTGTAGCATTGAGTTAAAGGAGAGTCTCTCAGCCAAACCACCTTCATTTTCCTTTCCCCCATCCCATCCTTCTTCCCCCACTATTAGCAACATCACTTAAAACTCAGGGAAGTATCTTTTTCTTGAGGGGGGGAAGGGAGCAAAGTTAAAGGATTCAAGAGATGAAGGGAATTATTACAATTTACTGGGCAGATTTCATAGCTTCTGGGGTCTGTCAATATTGTAGGAAGAACAATAAAACAAATAATTCCATAGAGAATTCTTGCTTCATAAGAAACATATCTTTGTCTTAAAGCACCAGATTAGGAATTAGCAATGAGGTGGTGTTGTAGATAAAGTGCAGGACTTGGAGTCAGGAGGTCCTGAGTTCAAAACTGCAGTGTCAGATACTTAATAATTGTATGACCCTGGGCAAGTAACTTAACCTTCCTCAAACTCAATTTCTTTTTCTGTAAAATGGAGATAATAATATCACTTACCCCTAGGGCTGTCATGAGGATAAAATGAGAATATATTCACAAAGCATTTCGCAAACTTTGAAGTGCTATATAAATGCTAGCTAGTTTTAAATGGCCTTGATATCTTGACTTTGCCATAATTTATCTGTATGATGTTAGGTAAATTTCTTAATTTCCTCATGCCTCAATTTCTCTTTCTAGAAAATAGAAACAATATCTCTGGCCACACTTTCCTACAAATAGTGTTGTGTAGGTAGGCTTTTAATCCTTCCATTTTCTGGGTTGGATTCTTCTACTGTTACACAGGATGATGGTCTTCTTGGAAGAACAGAGAGGAGGAAAACCTCCCTCCCCTTCCTCCCTTTTTTTCTTGGTACAAATAATAATAGCCAGCATTTATGTGATGATTTAAGATTTGCAAAGAGTTTTGCATTTGTTTTATAATTCAATTCTCACAATAACCCCGAGAAGTAGGTGCTTTTACTGATGAGGAAACCGAGTCTTAAAAAATTTAATTAACTTATCCAGGGTCATATAGCTAGCGAGTGTTTAAGTTAGATTTCCAATTCAGGTCTTCCTGTTTCTAGCTCCTCTGCTCTATCCACTGACCATCTAACTATATCTGAATGGGGGTGGGAGGGAGCAATGGAGAATTGCTCCCAACCTACAGGGTAGCCAGCTTAAGGAATATATAACCAACCCCTATGTATGGAAATGCTGCCCATACTGAACCTCTGTCTTTGATCCAGGTGAGACTCTGAGGTCCTTAAGATTGGGAAATAGCTGGGTAGCTTTGTGCTCTACAGAGTTGCCTTGCCTGTTAGCAGAGGGGAGCTTAGAGCTACTGCTTGTTTGTGCATAAATGTGTCCACACTTGTATATATTCAATTACACTCTCTTCACTGGGCCTTTACAGGGGCCCAGGACTTAACTCTGCTTTTGGAATGTCACCATATGAGCAGGTCAACTTCTAAGGAAACCGTTATCCAATGAGAAAACTACATGTGCTATGAACCAAGGCGTATGAGTTTCTATAGTTGAGAGCAATCACATATTTAGAGGAGAAATGACAGGCTCCAAAGGTTGTAGAGAAAATCCACCGATCCAATTAGGGCACAGCTGTTCAAAAATGACACCATGAGCAGCAATCATTCCAGTTTTTCTTTGTCAACCAAAATGATAGCATCCCTATCATTAATCACTTGGCATTATAGAATCAAGCTGTCCGAATAGCATGTTGTCAGAGGATAAATGACTCTGGCTTTGAGAATAAATGTCTTCATTTTGTCTTGACATTTATAGCAATGGGGAATCATCCTCTAATTCCAATGGCATTATCTCTTGAATCTATCTATACCATTGTGGTTCTCTATTAATATGTAAATGAGATTAATGTGAGCAGCGTTTGAATCTGACTCTGCAAGCCAAACTACAACAAATAACAAAATCTTTGAAGTGCAGAAAACTCTTACCATTAAATTGAGCCTTTCAGCACCAATTATGGAGAGTACTCAAATGAGAGGTATGACCAAGGTATTTTAACCAACATAATAATCTTCTTTAAAATGAAATGCTATCTTGCATAATAATCCTTTTTGAAGTTAAGCCTGTTTAAGTGCCAGTCCCTGTCATCATTTAAAAAAAATAATTTTTGAGTATATGCCTTGAGAAAAAGAAAAGAAAGATGCTCATGTTCTTCCCCTTGGGTTAGGGCCAACGGATGGAGGAGGGAGAAGCTGTACTGAAGTTAGATTGGTAGCCCATCCCATCCCCATTGTTGTTCACAGTGGGAAAATATGAAGGAACAAAGAGTACTAAGCAGTGGGTATGGCCCTGTGCTACTTATGAGCCAGGTATGTAACCCACAGAGGGGAAAATTCCTGAGGCAGGGATAATGGGAAAGAGAATAGGGAAGATGTCTGGGAGAGAAGGGCATGTTGTTGGCCTGATCGCCAATCCTAGAATAGGATTTCTCATGCTCTTTAAATGACAATGAGTTTTCTTGAGAAAAGAGGAGAAGCTCTACAGGCAAGGAGGAAAAAGCCTCTTGTGCTCATCCCCTGCATATTCCCTACAACACTGGAGAAAATTAATGGCAGAATTATCTGCCCTGGCTTAGAAAGGACCCTATACTGAAGGGCACACTTAACCAGACTGCCAGTGTTCTAACTCCTGGAAGGAGCCACTAAATCTAATGTCTCTAAACACATTTCACCACTAAAGAATTTGCTAGGCAAGATCAACCTGAGGCAAAATGGTGAAGGAAGGGAAAATTATTTTCAATGTCCTTCTTCCTTTCCTGAGCCCTTTTGTCCTCTCTCAGTGTTTCCCTTCCCTGGCTCACCTCGGGTCTCTAATGCCCTCATGCCACCCCTGGGCTCCACTTATCACATCTTATCCACTTATTCTCACTAAAGTATTAATGACTGAATATGTTATTTATCTCTTTCAGAAAAACCTATTCCTTTCAAAATTATGCCAGAGGAGGGCAATGTTTCACCCAAAGGAATAGATTTCTAATAGTAAAATCTCAGGCACTAAGACTATATGAGGTGGGAGTTCTTTTTCAGAAAGAGAAACTTTCTTAAACTCCCCAAATTATGCCATGTAAATGAGTGCCTACCCTGACTGCTTGGAAGGCCAACCTCTTGTTGGGTTTCTGGTTCCATATGAAATAATTCTGGGAAAAAAGAACCACAAGTAATTCTTCAGTAATCTCCTATTGGTATTTCAGTTAGCATTCCAAACTCCAAAGGTGCCTTGCTATCTTCCACCAACACTACAAGAACACCGGAAATCCTAATCTGACAAACGATGGGGATGCTTAGGGGAAGAAAGAGGGACATTAGGGAAGCTGTGAGTGTCTTGTTTAGGTGGGTTCAGAGTTCACTGTTCCAGGCAGCCAAAGTAACAGCACTATTAAAAGTCAATGCTGGGAGCCAGACAGCATACTACACTTGGCTCCTTTCAGTGCCAGAAGACCAGGTTCCAAGTCTCTGCTCTGATACTTACTGATTGGAAGCAAATCATTTAGACTTTCTGAGTTTCTTCATCCATAAAGTAGAGATGATAAATGATAAAATGGCAGCTCTGAGATAAAGTGAATAGTATTGGACTTGGAGTCAGGGAGACTTAAGTTCAAAATCTGTCTCTTAAACTTACTTAATTGCATGACCTTAGATAAGTCCCCTAATCTCTCCCAGCCTCAGTTTCCTCATCTGTAAAATGAAGATCATAATAGCACTCACTTCACAACGTCATTTTGTGAGGATCAGATGAGATAGCATATGTAAAGCATTTTGTAAACCATAAAGCACTATATGAATGCTAGCTATTGTTATTATTTTTGAACTACCTGCCTCACAGGGCTGTAGTGAGGAAAGTGCTTTATAAAGTATTATATAAATATGAGTTATTGTTGTTATTATTATTATAACAAAGAGTAGAAACATTCATTTCAAACCAATACCTTATGGAAGGCATGAGAGTGTCTCACCCACCTTGGTGCAGAAAGCTTGAAAAGAGAGTACCAGCCCTGAAGTCAGGAGGACCTGAGTTCAAATCTAACCTAAGACACTTGACACTAGCTGTGTGACCCTGGGCAAGTCACTTAATCTTAATTGCCTCACCAAAAAAAAGAATGGGAAAAATAAAAATAAATTTTAAGGGGCAGCTAGGTGGTGCAATGGATAGAGCACCAGACCTGAGTTCAAATCACCTCAGACCAAAACACGTAACACTTACTAGCTGTGTGACCCTGGGCAAATCACTTAACACCAATTGCCTAAAAATAAAGTAAAAAAAAAGAAAGCTTGAAAAGGGACTAGAAAAGGATTCCTGGTTTAGTCTCTCTTGACATGTGAGAAAGAACAATACATTTTTTCTTATTTATGTTTTTATATTTTTATTGTTCCCAGGCATGGAACCAGGTGTGCTGGAGAAATTGCCATGCAAGCCAATAATCAGAAATGTGGTGTTGGGGTTGCCTACAATTCCAGAGTTGGAGGTAAACAAACTAAAGTTGTTTTAGATCAAGGTAATGGACTCGTGTAAAGTTTGTCCCTGCCTCTGCCGGAAAAGTACTCCCAAAAGGACACATGTGAAGCTGACCTTCGGAATCTAAGTATGGCTCATAGCCAAATAAAGGGATATACTCTTAAATAAAAGAGTGCGTGGCTCTAACACATACATCCTAAAAAAATGAATGGAAATGTTGAGCACATTTTGAGCCAGATGTAGCTTTCCATCTGCTCTGTTTGAGGAAGGTTTATTGTCTAGAGCTTGTAATGTGGCAGCTGAAGCAGCCAAAATTTCCTGGCTTCTTCTTCTTGCTCCACTATATATTCTTTATTTGAGTGACAGATAGCTATATATCTATGTGTGTATGTGCATATATGTGTGTGTGTATACATATATACATGTGTATATGTGCATATGCATACATATACATATACATATACATATACATATACATATACATATACATATACATATACATATACATATACATATACATATACATATACATATACATATACATATACTAGTAGATGTTTAATAATTAAGAAACCAGAAGCTGTCTTTGAGAAAAAAATATTAACATCTGGCCTGCTGCAGCTATCTGAAATGTCTACAATTAAGGCATTGGTTAAAAGTGTTTATGGTTCTCAGAGACATGCTGCGGGGGAAAGCACCCAGATCCTTTATTTATTTTGCATTTTTTACAATTTCTTTTATAAATAATGAAAACTAAGCTGGGATTCAGCACTCCCTTTTTATTTTAATTTTTTCTCTTAATCTTTTCTCTCTGTGGGACACACGGAGCTGCCACAAATGCTTCTCCTCTCCATCCCATTCCCAGCTTTTAATTTCTTATGTTGTAAACACTTGGTGTTCTTTTCTAACACAGAAATTACTGACTGTAGTGACATACTATAATAACAATAGCTGGTATTTTATAATTCTTAAAGGTTTGCAAAATGCTTACAACAACCTTATGAGGTAGGCACTATGGTTGTCCCCACTTTATAGATAAGGAAACTGAAGGTGATGGAGTTCATTGATTTGTCCAGGGTCACACATCTAGTATCCGAGGTAGGATTTGAACTCAGGTCTTCCTGACTTCAAGTTCAGCATTTTATTCATTGTGCCACTTAGTGTAGCACAATTATCTCACATTTTGCTGAAGAAGAAACCGAGACCCAGAAAGTTTCCCAAGCTAACAACAGAAAATTAGAGGCAGAACCAGGACCAGGACCTGCCTTTGACTCCCGGTTGGGTGTTCTTTCCCCTATATTACTTTGTCTCAGTTCCAAAGGAATTTTTATTACAGTTTAGAATGTATCATACAGCATTAATAATACATTCAGATTTTTTTCATTTTGTACCATACTAAGTAATACCATGGGAACCCTAGGATTTATTTTCTATTAGACTCTGGACCTGAATATACCATAGCATTATCAACATGAAGACAGGAACAATCAGGGAGATACTTGTATATGTCCACATTACTTTCGCCTTCTTGGTTGATAAATTCATGAGGCTGATAATAGGTGACAGCCAGTTGGTAAACACAAAGAACTATTGTTTCTGTCTTCCCCACAACTGAAGATAATTTTTACCCTCGAGGAACACAAATAAAATCTATGGCAATGATTTAAATCTTGAGATTATTTGAAAAGAAAGGGATGTTTCTTCCCTGAAAATGTCTCTTAACAGATACATTAAAAATGCCTTTTGGGTTATTTTAAGTCAGTTCTTAGAAACAGGGTTATCTTCCCATGCTTTAACTGTCTTAAGTGGAAAGATTTTTTTTTCACTCCTGCTAAACACGATTTCTAAATGGGGCCAGGGTGTTTACCACCATTGGCACATTCTTGCAAGGTCTGTGTGGTAGTCTTCATTAATCCATTCATCCTCAGCTAACCTGAGACCTGTTAAAGATCTTAGCTTGAAAAGGCCAAGGTCCCCTACTGCATCCAGAGCCATCTCCAGTTGTCTTGATCCATTATCTGGCCACTGGACCCAGATGGCTCTGGAGGAGAAAGCGAGGCTGGTGACTTTGCACAGCCCTCCCTCCCTTAAATCCAATTCACTTGCATGTCATGTCATCACCTCCCTGATGTCATGGTCCTCTTTGAGAATGAAGGACAAATATCAACAACAACATTCAACAAAGACAATTGAGGAAAGGGCACTGTGCTAGCCATTGGGGGAGGTAAAAGATAAATAAGATAAAGAATTTACTTTCAAGTAGCTTGCAATTTAGTGGGAAGGCATACACAGGTTAAACACAATGCCAATTAAATTGTGGGAAGTGCATAGGAAGAGTACAAAGAGCTGTGAGATCAGACGAGAAGAAAATCATTTCCAACTGGGAAAACATAAATACATCCTTCTGGATTTTTTCACCTTCTAAGGTTGTTGAGAGGTGGGAGCTGGGAACGAGATGCTATTATAACAGTCTTATCACTTCTGCATCACCTCTGCTGCCCCACATGCACCACTCTGGCAGTGGAGTTCCCACTCCATCTTACCACTCCTGACAGCACACACATCTAAGTCATATATTGGAGGACAGGGAGGGGAAAGAGAAAAGAACTAAGTATTCAAGGGGGTAATTGTGGAAACACTGAACTTCATCTTCCCTGGTTGCCTGCTTGAAAAGGTAGCAAGGGATATAAAGTTGCTGTCAGCAACTTATACAGATGTAGCTTGCTTGGTTTCTGATCCATAGGCAGCTGGGTGGGATAGATGATAGAACACTGGACTTGGAGTTAAGAAGACCTAGGTTCAAATCCTGCCTCAGAAATTTACTAGCTGTGTGACTCTAAACAAGTCACTTAATCTCTCTCAGACTTGGTTTCTTCATCTGTAAAATGTGGATAATAATAGCAGCTACTTCACAGGGAAGTTAAGAGAATCAAATGAGATAACATAAATAAAGTGCTCTCCTAACTTTAAAGCACTGTATAAATGCTAGCTATTATTTTGTTTGTTTGTTTTGAGCCCTTAATAATATAGGACAAACAAGCATAATGTGTCTTTCTCTTCATGTTTTTAGAGTACTTAACAGTTTAACAAGTGGCAGGGCAGTGTAGCAGCAGGAGCACTTGATTTGATGACTACAGAGCCCTCTCTGATATCTTCTAGATATGTGATCCTGGGCAAGCCAATGAACCTCTATGAGCCTCAGTTCTCCTATCTGTAAAATGGCGATAATAATAATACCTGTAGGACTCATCTCACAAGGTTACTATGAGAATCAAGTAAGATCATGCGTATGAAATACTACATACATGTCATTTATGAATGACTGGAGTGATCCAAAAGTTATATGGGCTGCCTTTGAGAGGCTGTGGGTTCTTCCTCCTTGGGGAACTTTCAAGAGAGGCTTCATGAACTCTTATCTCATATGTCGTAGAGATGATTCTTTGTCACATATTCAGTTGCTCAAATTCTTTCAACTCTGAAATTGGATGCTTTTGTGATCATTCTGTCACCCTCTCTCTCCTATTAGAGCTCTTGGAATTATAGTCATATCAATACTGCCAGTGCTGTTAGGTTTTAGTCTACTCCTCTATGACTCCACTGACCTTCTTTGTGACTTTGGAAACCAAAATTCCTTCCCTGGCCACTATTTCCCCAAATGAGGCTATTAGGATGTACATTTCTTGAGGACAAGTTTGTTCAGTCATTTCAGTCGTGTCCAACTCTTTGTGACCCCATTTGGAATGTTCTTGGCACAGACACTAGAGTGGTTGGTCATTTCCTTCTCCAACCCATTTTTACAAGTGAAAAAACTGAGGCAAACAAAGCCAAGTGACTTGCCCATCTATTTGAAGCTGGATTTGAATTCAGGTCCTCCTGACTCCAGTGCTTTATCCACGAAGCCACCTAGCTGCCCTGAAGACAAGTACTAACTCTTGTATTTGTAACCCCAAGATTAGCACCGTATTTGGCACACAGTGAGCACTTTTATTTTTTTTCACTCATTTATTTGATCTTTTCAACTGTGATGTGAGCAAGGAAGATTTTATAAGATTGTAAGAAGTCTGAGGGCACGAATGGTGCCATTTTCCATTTTGGATACAAAGCACCGAGCTCTGAGCCTTGCGCATAGCAGACTTCAATTGCATTGCTGTTATTGGACCACCATTTTACAGAAGAAACAAACTCAGAGAATGCAATTGACTTACTCAAAGTCGAAAGGTTACTATGAGAATCAAGTGAAATCATGTCTACAAATGTCAGTCATTAATGACTAGAGCTATTCAAATGAAGGAAGTGGCGGACCTGTGACTTCAAACCAAAGACTGTAGTTGTTTCACTTCTTAGAGCTTTGTTACCTTTTTGGTTAAGTTTTGGACCCCTTTGACAGTCAGGTGAAGCCTATGAATCTCTTCTCAGCAACTCAATAAACATAAATAAGCATTTATTAAGAATCCACTATATGCTAGGTACTGTGCTAAGATCTGAGGATACGAAGAAAGGCAAAAGACAACTACTGAAGCTCACAGCCTAATGGGAGAGATGATTTATAAGCAACTCTGTACAGAAATCTGCATAGAGGATAAATAAGAGGCAATCAACAGGAGGAAGGCACCAAATTAAGGGTAATTGGGAAAGGCTTCCTGTAAAAAGCATATTTTAGTAGGGACTTGAAAGAATCCAAGGAAATGATAACGCAGAGATAAGGAGGGACAGCATTCTAGGCATGGGGGACAACCAGTGAAAATGCTTGGAGTTGGGCAGTAGACTGATCAACGACAATGAGGCCAATGTCACTGGATTGCATAGTGTGTCGGGGAGTGGTGTGAGGTACGAGAAGACTGGAAAGTTTGAGAGGGGAGCAGGTTATAAAGGACTGTGAACACCCAACAGAGGATTATGTATTTGATCCTGAAAGTGATAGGGAGCCACTGGAGTTTATTGATTGGGCATGTAGGGGTTGTACAGCATGGGTAGACCTGTGCTTTAGGAAGTTCCCTTTGACAGCTGAAGATAATGGTTTTTAAAGCATGAAATAAAATACATAGGCTTACGGAGGAAAACAACGTTATTCAAATGAAGTTATCATATACATATGTGACACAGTATTTTTTGTTGTTCAGGCATTAGAATGTTGGATGGCATTGTGACTGATGCTATTGAGGCCAGTTCAATTGGATTCAATCCCAACCATGTGGATATTTACAGTGCAAGCTGGGGCCCAAATGATGATGGAAAAACAGTGGAAGGCCCTGGCAGGTTAGCCCAGAAGGCTTTTGAATATGGCATCAAACAGGTGAGATACTTAAAAGTAATTCAACTGAGATAAAATATGATGATATGCAAAGAACATGTGAAAACCTTCTGTTTCTACAGATAGAGGAAGGAGGCCTTTTCTGGCTTTCCAAAAGTCCTTTTCCATTTCAAATGTATTTTCAAAGCCAAATTATTCTTCAGAGGGATGGAAGTAACAGGGTTAAGTGAGCTTTACTAGCCCGGCACTGACTTTCGTACTTTGCATATGTTCCACGGTATCCCAACAAAAACTTCCATGCTCATATCTTCTACACAACCTTTTTTTTTTTTACCTGATACAATCTAGACAGTGAAATTATGATCTCAACTCAAAAACACTGGCTTAATTCATACACATACGCGTGTGTGTATATATGCTTGTATTTACTCGTGTAATACATCAAGGATCTGGGATTTGTTTCACTGACTCCAAATCAAGATGTGAAACCCATTGCTCACCTATAGTGTTAGAGTTGCCTGAGGCTTAGATAGGCTTACTCACAGTTCCTCAGCTAGCAGTAAGTGTCATAGGCAGGAGTTAAACCTGGGTCTTTCTGACTCTGAGTAACATGCTCTATCCATTCTGCTCTGTTGCATATTCCTATAATACATAGGTATAACAGGATGCTGGAGATGAATGCCTCCTAGTGGGCAGGAATCCCCAGCCCTCCCCTCCTTAATCCCCCAGTGAGCTATCAAGATGCTGTTACATATGGAAAAAATAAGCTTTTGAAAACATACATTGAATGCAATATATTGAATCTGATCTCTAATTCTGATCAAACATTTCCTTTTCTTAATAACAATTAAAAAAAGGATCCTGCTTCTCTAGACATTTCTCACTTTATTTTATCAGATATTTTTGGGTTACTACATTCACCAAATGGTAACCAGAATTCCTCTATGCATTCATTCAATTTATTGGGCATCTGCCACGTGTAAGGTACTAGCCACTGACCAAGGTGAGGGTGGGTTGGGGGAGGCATGCTGTTTTTAACTATGTAGTCACTTTTTAAAAGCCCTTATGCTCACTTTGCATCTGATCATTTGTATTTATTATCTCTCAAGCATATACCAGACCCACAGACTCCATGTTGTAAAATTAAAAGGGAGATATTTGGACAAAAGAATGGCATTGTCAAATATAGCCCTAGCAAGAAGCCACTTTTAATCCAGCTGGAATGCATCACTGAATAATAGTTGATTTAGTCTTTGCTGACTGACTGATAGAATAAGAGATTTGAGCTGAAGAAAGGCAGAGGAAGTTCAGTGATCCAAATATATCACAACAAGCATTACAAAGTATGGGGAAAAAAATAGGAGACAGCATGGAAGGTGAGGTCTTCCATCTACCTACATAAAGAAAGAAAGCCAAGATTGCTGCACAACACCAAAAGGAGGGACAGAGAACACAGAAATATCTGGCTTTACAGAAAGGTTACAGTATTATGTGTATTATATATGGGAAAAGAGTAAGTGACAAGAGGTTTTCTTATCATTTCAGAAGGTTTTGACCTGAAGAACAGATATCAATTGTGTACATTTTGAACTTTCTGTTTAGAAAGTGAAGTTTTGAATAGTTTCTAAGAGATTGGAGATGGCCTAAACCCACATTTCCTGCCATTGCCTACAGGGAAGACAGGGAAAAGGTTCCATTTTCGTCTGGGCATCCGGGAATGGTGGGCGTCAAGGGGATGACTGTGACTGTGATGGTTACACAGACAGTATCTACACCATTTCCATCAGTAGCGCCTCACAGCAAGGCCTGTCTCCCTGGTATGCTGAAAAGTGCTCATCCACACTGGCCACTGCCTACAGCAGTGGGGACTACACTGACCAGAGAATCGTAGGTTGTTTTTTCTTGTTGTTTTTTTTTTTTAATCAGACTTACTCTACTACAACAGAGGAATGTAATTTGTGTATACAGCTAAGAAAACAATTGCTTTTGAAAGGGTTGATTTACTTACACTTGGAAGTTCATGCTTAGTCACTTTTAAGTTTTCACATATTAAAATATGATTTTTTTTCCTTCAAGCATAATCACACTTATATGAGTGGATGCTTTTGTCTATCTACCCCTTATTCTTTTGGCTTGATAGTAAGGAGCTACCAAATGTTGTTGTAATAGGGTGTCTCAAAAGTCTTAGTGTAGTTTCAAGTTAATAGAGCTTAAAATTGCACTATTGGTACTTAAAAATGCTCTGAGACTTTGAAGGGATGCCTCTCTGAAGGGACTTCACACATCTGTGCTAGCTATCTGGTGCTATCCTGTGAGGAAAACCATAATCACAATAAGCAAGGGCTCTGTGATCTTGTTGATTTGAGAATTCTCTCCAACCATGCAGATCTAAGCCCATCTATGCCAGTCCATCCTCCTATATGATTCTCTTTCAAGTCCTCCGTAAAGGTCACCTCAGGGGATGTGAGAGGCCCCTTGGTGGTTCACCTTTCATTCTTCACTCTCATAACATTCAGCAAAGTTATAAAAATACCAATTAAAGGCCTGCCTCATCCTAAGAGAGTGGCAAGCTAAAAAGGAAAATGACTGAGTTCAACATTTTCCAGAGCTGACCTCAGCGTCCAGATCAGTAGCCCTGGAAATTTACGTTTCAGAAAGATCTTTCAGCCCACATTCAGATACCCTGCAGATAATCAGGATTCATTCTATTTAGGTCAGGGCTTTTTAACCTTAGGTCCACATACCCCCTAAACAGTCTATAGATAGACTTCAGAGAGTCCATAAACTTAAAGGTTTTTTTTTTTAATATTTTTATAATTATAGTTCAATATAATTGGATTTCTTTCATAATCCTATGTGTTTTATTTTGTGCATTTAAAAACATTGTTCTGAGGAGTCCATGATACAAAAAAAAGGTTAAGAATTCCTATTTTAGTGATTTATTAGACTCCTTCAAGGGCAAAATGTTAAAGCATGATATGGGAGCTTTGTGGCCAGAGATCCATTAATTAAAAATGTTGTGAACCCCACAATTAATTCTTGACACAGAAAAAATAACTGACTAGCTAAGGCATATAGGATCCTAATCTCATAATGTAACTATTGGTTATGTTCTCCAATTTACAGCATGTGTGTTCATTTACTACAAACAGCTCAGTGATTATATCTTCTCCAGACAAATCATGAGCAGAGAACTGTATTTTTTTAAATAATGTGATAATTTAATCAGTGAAACTGTGGTCTCAGCTGAAAAACATTTTTAATTCTCACCTTAATTTTTTGCACTGATTCATTTCACAAACAGTGGGAGAACATCTTTTTGGATATAGGCATTAAGCAAAGACAATATTCTGCATGATCCTTGAATCTGAGTTATCACTTACCCCTCCCTTTTTTAAGTGCGCACAGCAGGCTAGTGTCTCCATGGATATTTAATAGTCCCTTCAAGCGGATGGGTTTATCAAGAATTTCAGATATACAGTTAGCCCTATTTCATCCTCTTCATTGTTCTGCAACGAAGCAGCAAGGGGGAGTTTGGGGTCCCAAGAGATCTCTATTTAAATCAAAGATACAGAAGACCAATGTGTATGATGGAAATCAGTGAAAGCAGTTCCAAGAAAATCAGCCTTGTCTAACTTACTCAAACCTGTTCCTTAGCCTTGTCAGTTGTAGCCCCCTCCCAGTCTCTCTTATCAATAGCAGCTCTGTTTCTGCAACTCTCAGGAGAGAACATTTGCCTCCATTTTGGAAATTCAGCAAATCCAAGTGGGAGGTGATAATTGAACAAATCATTTTTTCACACCTCCTGCCCACACAAAGAAACCTCTAGTGAGATAGGGAACTGCACCACTAAAACCTAGGTGGGCTCTCATTATCAGTCCCATTACTGGCTATACCAGCCACCCACCCTTGTCATCAGTTATGGGAACCTTGGAGGCAAATTAATCATGAAGGCTATCTGCTTCCACATACCCCTCCTTATCAGTGCTCACTCCTCTACACACACACACACACACACACACAACACATCGTGGAAACATCATTCTGATTAGGAGATGCAAAAAAACCCCCAAAACACCAAGTTGTGATTAAATGCAATTGTGAATGCTTACACATGGGAATCAAATCAAATCCATGTGTATTTGTTGAGCACCTATTCTGTGTACTGAACAGATGACTGAGCCCCTACTGAGCGTATGAGTTCAAGTACTGATTAACATAATCAAGATCAGGTCAGTTTCAAACACAAATCAGAATATTTCTGTTAAAGACATAGTCATGTGTCAATGTGAAAGGAAGAGAACGATTTATTGCAACAAGAAGACTTCTAAATATACTAGATCAAACACAGTGGGTACAATGATTAATGAGATACCATGATTCACGATGGTTTTGAAACATTCCTTTTTTATATACAGTGTAACTCTAGGAATCTCAGGGGGGAAAAAGAGATAAAATATTCATAGGAGGAGGCAGTTCATTCCCAGAGAAGCTACACTGATACCAAAATCACAAACAAGTTGGAGAGAGAAGAGAGTGACCTGAAATATCAGCAGATAATATCCCTACACTTGTTTGGGAGAGACAGGGAATTGAATCAACTGAGTTACCTCATTATAGTCATTATTAACTTTTGATTACAGTTAATCCCAAGCAATGAAATTTATGATATCATTGTGTTTTCTCCCTGTGTCCATTCTCTTGTGTCACTGCCCAGACAAGTGCCGATCTGCATGATGACTGCACCGAGACCCACACTGGCACTTCAGCCTCTGCCCCTCTGGCTGCTGGGATCTTTGCTCTTGCACTGGAAGCAAAGTAAGATGTCAAAGACTTTGAATCCCCTTTCCTGAAATTTTGCTCTTTTTTAAAGGGTGTATGTCAGAAAGGGAGGTAGAAATGAGGGAGCCTTCCTAGTTGGCACTCTATTAGAGGGCTGGCTTTCTTTGGCCGCTTGGATTAATTTGTCTGCATTCCTGCATTCCAATGTTGGGTAATGTCAGCAATTCTTTAAATGTTAAGACAAATATTATAGCTGCATGGTTAAAAAAGCTGGCTAATTTGAAGATTATTTTTGTCCTTCCTAGAAAGGAAGATTGGCCTACTGAAACCAAATGGAACCACTACAAAAAAGATGAAACATCTCCCCTTCACATGCATCTCTCTTCCTCCACTACCCCACCCCTAATTCTTATGTTATGGCATGTTCAGTGGATTTGCCATCTGATGATGCCCGGTAGTTGAACTAGGGTGCTAAAGTACAGGAACAGCCTGACCTATGCCAGGAGTGATTAAATTATTAAAACCATGGGCACTTACCCATCTTCTTCATTGAACTCCTAGAGCCCAGGTCAGTTTTGGAAACCCTTGGTTTGCCTGAGAGGTTTAGTTTAATCCAAGTTAGTTTCAGGATGTGTTAGATAGGGTATTGAGTAGAGCAGGGCAGAAAAATCTGTGACTAATGATATAATTTGTCTTAATGTCTTGACATAGTTTATATATTCAGCACATGCTCAGGAACAAGAACTCAGGAAGCAAGGAGAGAACATAGAAGTATCCCAGGTCTAAGCAGGCAAAGTCATGTGCTTAGTTCAAGTGGAATGGATTTTTTAAAAAAATGGTATCCGACAGGAAATGAAATCCAAGTAGTCAGATCAATGTCAGTGTCTAGAGAACCAAAACAAGCATTGTAAGGATAGAAAAGAAGCAGTCTCATACAAATACGTTATACATTAGTGGAACAGGGAACTACAACAACAACATAACAATAATAATAGTAGTAATAACTAGTGGTTTATAGTGCTTTAACATTTGCAAAGTGCGTGTTAAATATTTTTATTTTTCATCAAAATAGCCTGTAAATTAGATGCTATTATTATCCCCATTTTATAGATAAGGAAACTGAGGCTGAAAGTGACTTGCCCAAGGTCATATAGCCAGTAAGTGTTCACAGCTCAATTTGATGTGAGGACATAGATTAGCTACCCTCTCCTTGGTCTTCTACTTCCAGATGGGTATAGCCAGACATCTGAGGGAGAGCTGGAGAAAAATCCCATTCCATGGCTGGAGCAATTACTTCAACAAAGGAGGTCAAATCTAACCTGATAAGATTACTTTTTTTTTTCCTGTGGAGGCCTTTCTATATTAGCATCTAGCCTAGGAACTTAGCTTCTGGAGCAACTCCAGATCAAGGATGCAGCCTGTTCCTCCCACTCACTGTTCAAATGAAGACACCTTATTGCCTTTACAGCAATCAGCAAGGACAAGGAGGAGGCTGCCCTGTGGTTAAGAAAACATCCATCTGGCTGCATGAGGTTCTGGCGGCATCAGCCATAGTACCCACAACCAGTCTGTTTTAATACTGAAGAAGACTTTCCAGAAAGCCGGCCCTCTGCCACAACCTATAACAATAGCTTATATTTCTGTGGAATCTTATAATTTCCAAAATACTTCCCTTATGATAACTCTGTGAAGTGGGTAGTACAAATATTGCTTCCCTATGGAGGCTCAGAAAAAAAATTTCAACATCTAGTAAGCAGCAGAGTCAACACTGGGACCCAGGTGTCCCCACTCCCAGGACGGGACTTTTGCCATTTTACATCTGCCGTAAGAGATCACTAGCATAAGCAAAATACCATATTGGATGCTTTAGGACTGGGAGGTGAGGCCGACATGGAGAGCTAAGGGAGGGAAATGCTTCCCATGAACTTATAGAGACCCTTATCACAGATGGGCCCTGGGAAGTTGCCCACATTAGCTAAATAGGTCTTTCTGGGTCTATATAAAGATGTTTAATAATGAATGTGCTAAATGACTAGAACCCATCTGAGAAATATCATGCTCCCCTCCCCACCAACCTCCATTCATGGGGTAGTAGGAATTCCTGTAGAAGATGAGAAAAAAAGAGTTAATTTCATGGTTAAGAGACAACGACTTAAGCCTTGTCAGAAAGATGAAGAGAAAATGGGGTGAAAAGGTGATACAGTGTATAGAGCCCTGGACTTGGAGTTAAGATGACCTGAGTTCAGATTCAGCCTCAGAAACCTGGGTGATCCTGGGCAGTCTGCCTCAATTTCCCTGTCTGTAAAGTGAGGATAATAATAGCTCCTAATCCCCAGAGTTGTTTTGAGAACAAAATATAAGATAATATTTTCAGAGTGCCTGGCATATAGTAGGTACTTAATAAATGCTTATCAATTTTTTAAATTACATAAACATTTATTAAGTGTCATTTTAATTTGGAAGGAGAGAGGCTGGAATGGGAAATTATTTTAGTATTATGAGGTCAGTGAAAAGATATCACAAAACACTGGCAAAAATAAACCCTACTATTTTCACTGAGTGCAAAGGAAGAAATATGTTTCAAATGCATGAAGAAGAAATTGAGTTAGGTATTGTGAAGAAAACCTTGACTTCATGTGTTGTGAGATACTGAAACATGTTGCCACGGTTACAGAACATCCATCTCTTAAGATGTTCAAAAGAAACGGAGATGATCTTTTCAAGGTCACAGAAGTGGAAGACTGGACATAGCAACCTCCAGCATTTCCCCCCAAATTACATTTACTCCCTTTCCAATTAGTCGCACTAAATTGCTTAATTCCATAATTGTTATTTTCTGCGAACATATCTTTGGTTGGCAATCCACCACATTGTTAAAATGGGCCTTTTCCCCATTAAGTTAGTTTGGCTGTTTGGAGAGCAAAGAACGGTAAGAATGGTAAGAGCAAGATATTTTTTTCATCTGTGAAATATAATCATTCAGATGGGAAATGGCAGAAAGGACTTCTTTTTCTTAATTATGTTAGAATGTCATCCCCTTGAATATTTTCCAAAGATTAGATAAAAATAAACAAATGAGGATACCATGGAACCTGCATATTAAGCAATGTCATTAAAAGAGAAATGTGACATGAATGGAGAAACTATATCAGGCCAAACAGACTGCAGCTCTAATATGAGATCCCTCTGCAAGAAAAAAAAATTTATATATATATATATATATATATATATATATATATATAGAGAGAGAGAGAGAGAGAGAGAGAGAGAGAGAGAGAGAGAGAGAGAGAGAGAGAGAGAGAGAGAGAAATTCACTAAAAATTATTACGTGAAATTTGCAGTTTTAAAATCCATTTGTGGTGAATGTATAGTCTCTTATTTCAATGCCTCATCATGACGTGAAGGTAAGCTTGGGATTTCAAAGGTTGGTTCAGAGAAATATGGGCCCTGGTAAGTTTACCCAGTTTTCTCAGATTGCAGAGATGGAATGTGTCATTTGGCTAAGTACAGCATAGCTAAGATCAGAGAGATTCCTCAGCAGCAGGTTGGATGCAGAGTAATGAATTTTTATTTTTATTTTTTGTGGTTTCTTTTAAAAAAATATTTTGACCATTACTTATTATCTCTCCTTCCCACTACCGCCTCTCTAACCCAAAACAGTTTTTTAAATTCTCATAATAAATGTGTATAGTCTAGCAAAACAATTTCCCACATTGGCAGGATCCAAACATGCATGAATCATTCTGGATTTGGAGTCCAAGGTGGTGAATTTTTAAAGCATGGCAACTCCAGCTTGTGTCCTAAGATTGGTTTCAATTTATTGCCATCAACTTTACTGACCTTAATGAATTCACACTGATGAAATCACAGATCCCTGAAATATGGAGGAAGAACTTACTATGTGGTATAGTTGGTTTTTTCAATTTGAATATTAATATTTGAATATTAAATCATATATTTGCCTTTTAAATCTTTCAAAACCTGGCCCCTTCCTACCTTTCCAGTCATCCCATGCAATTCAGGAGTGGAGAACCTGCGGCCTCAAGGCCACATGTGGCCTTCTAGGTCCTTGGGCACAGCCTTTTGACTGAGTCCGACTTTTACAGAACAAATCCTTTTATTAAGGGGATTTATTCTGTGAAGTTTGGATTCAGGTAAAGGGCCGCACTTGAGGACCTAGAAGGCCACATGTGGCCTCGAGGCCGCAGGTTCTGCATCCTTGTCCCTTTTACATAGTCTGTGATAAAGCTACTTTGGCCTTCATACTGTTCCTGATGCATGACACTCCATCTCTGTCTTCTGACTTAGATGCCTTTTCACTGACTGTCCTCCATGTCTGAAATGCTTTTCCTCCTCTCCTAACCTCCTGGCTTCCCAGGCCTTTTTCAAGACCCAGCTCAAATTCCATCTTCTGTCATGTTTTCCGTATAGGTGCTTACAACATTGAACAGGTATACTTCAGAGACGGAAAGGACCTTAGAGATCATTTTTGCATGATATTGGTGCTTAATGAAACACCTAGTAAAGGTACACTAGTATGAGAAAATGGTAGGATTTCCTCCCTGGGCTAAGTGACCGTCAGAAAAGTGAAATGTCCCCTCTAAGGTCACATGGCTACTTAGCGACAAAGCCTAGATTGGAACCCAGATCTTTTGCATTGTTCTCTGTCCAGTAACACTCACTGCTTTCCATACAACAGCTAAATCCAATTTTTCATGTTATGTTTCACGAAGTCATGATTTCCTGTTGACATATCCTATATGATTTATGGCCTAATTGACTGTATATATGTTTACACTCTTGCTATTAACTTCTTGGTTTAAAAATAGTACCATATGAGGCCAATTCTTCCTCATACAGTCCTTGTTAGCCTTATGCTTGGCTATCCACACTAATTCTGTCCACCTGGTAGTCTGTGTATTAGACTGCCGCCCTGCCCTGGGAACAATGTATCCCCTTTCTTCAAGTGCCTAAGCCAGCAATCACTTCTACTTAGGGAAGCCATTTTTAAAAGCACCAGTAACCATTTGTTTTGAACAAAATAGTTGTACTTACCAAACAACACTTTATTGACTTTACTGACCTTAATGAATTAAGACATCTTGGCATGAAACTCTAGCCTAGAAGCCAAGATAATGTGAGTTGCAGGGCTGCTTTTGATACACCCTGGCTGTACCATGCTGGGCAAATCTCTTAAGACTATGAGATGCAGAGAAGGTGCTGACCTGCATTAGTGGAGGGAGTTTTCTCACTGGGAGTTCCTAAGTATATCTGTATGTTGGAGCCAACTCATAGGAAAGCCAATTGTTAAATTTCCAATGTGAGCAATTAGACCTCTCTAATAGGTAAACACTACAAATCAGGGCTTGATTTATTGCTTGTCTAAACTTACAAAAGTGATGAATATAATGTTAATAATGCAAATTAAACTTAAAATTCTGCTGTGGGTACATTTCCACTCTGGTAAGCTAATTGTTAAACATTTACCAGCATACATCTGCCTGTACCAATGAAATCACAGGTCCAGTTATTATAGGGATATTATATATCACTATATACAGGATATTACAGGGATATCCCTATCTCTATCCAAAACCAAGGAGGAATTTAAGCATCATGATGTACACTTGGCTCTTTATAGGTTTATAGATTTGAGTTTATAATTTGCATGAATAACGTATTAGTAAAGATCACTTTGAATTTTAAGATTTCATCATTCATGATATTATGTTCATCATGTCAATGACATAAACTATACCATAATAGACTCATTAATAATAAGCATTAGCATAACCTTAGTTTATCAATAACTCATACTTGCTATGTAATTATTGATAATAATAATAAAAGCTAGCATTTTTAATGCTTTAAGACTTGCAAAATGCTTAATATAAATTATCTCATTTGGTCTTCACAACAACCCTTGGAAGTAGGTGCTTTTATTGTCCCCATTTTACAGATGAGAAAACTGAGGCTGAGAACGTTTAAGGGTCTTATCAAGGGTCACATAACTTGTAAGTGTCTGAGGCAGAATTTTAACTCAGGTTTTCTAGACTCCAAGTCTAGCACTCTATTCAGTTGTATTTGCAAAGAAGTTTTGTTTCTGAAATATTATACTATCCCTCCCATACAGCCCTCATCTTACCTGGAGAGATATGCAACATTTGGTCGTGTGGACCTCTGAATATGACCCCCTGGCCATCAATCCTGGTTGGAAGAAGAATGGAGCAGGATTGATGGTGAATAGTCGATTTGGATTTGGGTTACTTAATGCTAAGGCCCTGGTGGATTTAGCTGATCCCAAAACTTGGAGAGGTGTCCCTGAGAAGAAAGAGTGCATTGTAAAAGACAACAACTTTGAGCCCAAGTAAGAAATTCCTTGTCCTTTCATGATGACTTCCATTTGTCATACTATTTGACTGCAGCATTTGATGTCCAAAAGAACTTTCTCAGGGCTCTGACTACTCAGCAGCAGCTAAGATCTCCTCCCTTCTCCCTCCCACATCCCACTTCTGCCTTTGTGCCATTGAGGGAGAAGGAGATCAACAGTGTCCTCTGTGGGATGCTAGAAAATCCTTATGGGTGACTTGATGATTTAAAGGACATATATAGTATACCATAGACTTAGAACCATTCCCACTCCCCTTTATATTGAACAGGAATTGAGACCCCAAGAGGTTAAATGACTTGTCCATTATAGTCTATATGACTATAGAACAGAGAGTGGGCCTTGGATCCAGGTCTCCTTAGCTCCAGTACAATTGCTTCTAAACCACACCAATATCTATTTTTACAGACTGCTCATCTTTAGTCTCTGTTCTTGTAGTTTTACTTCAAATCATGTAATTTGTTATGTGGTATTTTTACACTGAATATTTTTCATTATTTATGTACATTTTACCTAGAAATTGCCCATAGATGTATCAAGTTATAGCACAGAAGCAGACTAGTTTAGGATTGGTTTCAATTCTTACAATCATTGTAATTAATATTATACTAGAGACACTAAAATCGTGTCAAATTAATATTGTTGTTTGCATAGTGCAAAATGATTACAAAATGCTTTACACATATTATCTCATTTGATCTTCACGACATCCCCATGAGTTATGGAATGCAAAACTCTTATCATAATTTTTAAAAAAAGAAACTAACACTGAAACAAATGAAGGGACTTGCCCAGAGTCACACAACTAAGTAAGCAGTAGAGTCAGATCTTGAGTTTGTGCCTCCTTACTCCAAGCAGTGGGACCGTTTCATAGCTGAGATCACATTATCAAAAAGTGGACATGGCAGCTGTGCTCAAATACTCATTCTGTAATCTATCTGTCTCGCCACCTAGTTTCCTCCTTGATCATCGGCTGAACTAATTGACCTCTAATTTCCTTTCTATTTTTGAGATAAATACCTAAACCTTCTTGGTTATAGTCCAAAGCATTACATTCTAGAGCAAATAGTATTATAACACATTTTCAGGTTATCTTATTCATATTTACTGGTATATGTCAACTACCAACCTTGTTTCAGAATCCATCTTCATAATACAAAAAAAAAGTCCCATGCTGATGCAATGTAGGATGCCTGTATACCCACACATATAAAATTTACTGAATTTGATAAAGAGCTTATTTATTTATAACCCTTAACTTTTTTTAGATCATTGAAAGCTGATGGAGTAATTACTATTGAAATCCCCACAAAAGCCTGTGAAGGACAAGAAAATTCCATCAAGTCTCTGGAACACGTGCAATTTGAAGCAACGATTGAATACTCACGGAGAGGAGACCTTCATGTCACACTCACCTCTGCCGCTGGTACAGAGGAGAGATGTTTTCTTTTGTTTTCCCCCCTTCTTACAAAGTCATTAAAGTCCTTATTTAAATGCCTGTAGAATTTATTATGTTCAAGGAATAGTTTGTATGGAGTGCCTAAAGGGTAACTTTAAGTCCGTAAGTAATGTGCTATTTTACTTTTTTTTTTTTTAGAGGCTGAGTTCCCATTGCTCATTTGGATAAGTGGTGAATAAGATCTATAGAAAGTGTTGACTGTTGACTCAAATTTCCCCATTTTATAAGCTTATGACTCACAAAGAATTCTAGTACTTTGAGGAGGATTTTTCAAATCCTAATATTGATCTTGATGTTCTTCATATAGTTCCTATTCCAGGAATCCTTTTTTATTTTCCATAGGCAATGCTTTTAAATGACCATTTATTATCTTCTATTTTCATGTCACTTATAATGCCCAACATGTCTCTTGTTTCACTCCCTCCCTGAAAACCATCCCTATAACAAAGAATAAAAAAGAGGGGGGTGAAACAGTGGAGCAAAATGAACCATCAACCATAACTGACATTATCTGCAGTGGTCTATGTCCATAGTCTCTCACCTCTGCTAAGAAAGCAGGGAGTTACAGACTGAAGCATACTATTTTTTACTTTCTTTTCCTTCTTTCCTTCTTTCTTTTTCTTTCTTTCTTCCTTCTTTTTTCTCTCCTTCCCTCCCTCCCTTCCTGCCTTTCTCTCTTCCTTCCTTTCTTTCTTCTTCCTTCTTTCTCTTTCTTTCTTTTCTATCTTTCTTTTCAAGTCTTCTCATGCAAAATGACTAATTTGGAAATGTTTTACAGGATTGCACATGTATAACCTATATCAGATTACAAGGAGGGATAGAATTTGGAACTCAAAACTTTTAAAAAATGTTAAAAAATCGTTTTAACCAGTAATTGGGAACAATAAAATATTATTTAAATAAAGAAAGCAGGGACTTGAGTTCTCAATGCTCTTCTTTGGGAATAGTTTGGCTGATATAATTTCTCAGCATTCAGCTTCCATTGTTGGGTTGTTGTTTCCGTTTACATTGAAGTCATTGTGTATATTGTTTTCCTAGTTCTGCTTACTTCACTTTGCACCAATTCATATGATTGTCCTATCCTATGCTCTCCTGTACTCATCTCTTGGTGGCACAGCATTATTCCATCACATTGATTTGCCACAATTTGTTTGACAATATCTTATTAAATTATACTTGTTAAGCCCCAGGGGGCTAATTCCACTTCCAATATGTGCAATAGACCAAGAAGTAGTTTAGGTACATCCTGCTCAGTTTAAAGGGGTTAAAAAAAAAGTTTCCCTAATATGAACGGAATAGGCCTTCATACTCTTTGTAGAAGGTTTTTGAGATGGAAGATGTAAAGATTCTTTGTAAAGTACAAGTATTAAGAGCTTTGATACATGTCTCTTTGAAAGTGAAGTCTTAGGAAACTGTATTTCTCAAAATTCAGGCAGAGTAAAGATGCATTGCCACTGAGGTAAGATGGATCCTTAGAATGGCCACACTCCCTTTCAGAAAAGATTCATGATTTGATCAGCCCAAAGACTGACATCTGAGAAAGTATAGTGTCATGGAAAGAATTCTGGGCTTGGAATAAAGAGATACTTGGGTTCACATCTTGCCTCAGAAAGCTGTGTGACCATGGGCAAGTCACTTTACCTTTCTGAGCCTCAGTTTCCTCACCCTTAAAATGGGGATATTAGAAGGAACACTGCTTATCTCACAGGATTCTTGGAATGATCTAATAAGAGAATGTATGTTGGATTTTGCATATCAAAAAGTGCTATATAAATGTCATGTCTTAAGCTTCTCATACTTCTTACAACCTGCCACATAGACCAGGGCCTACTCTGAAGCTCACTAGCTCTTTTGATTCAGGATATAAATGGTTGTTAATGGCTCTGGGGGAGGACTGGGACTCAGTTATCATTACATTTCTGGCTCTGCCCCTAGTTTGTTGTACAAATATCAGCTAATTCATGTATTTCTATTTGAGCATTAAGTGGCTGCTCTGTAATTTACATTTAATGATCTCTGAAAACTGTGAATCTTTCTCTTTATAAAGTGATAATGTGCCTGAAAAGTATGTATTCCCTTTGAATCTTTCTTTTGAATGTTGCTTAAATGTAGCTTTCAGTTCTTTGTATTCAAATGAACTTATACATCTCCCTTTCCTTATGAATGGCGATATTCTGGCCTTCTACTGAAAGGAGATTTTGAGAACTCATTCCTATCCAAGCATAATTTTTTACTAGCTAGATTTTATCCAAATAACAAATACCAATTATCTGAAGTAATTTCCCTTGCTTCATCTACTAACTTTAGTCAGTCAGTCAAAAAACATTTATTAAGTACCTATTATGTGACAGTCACTGTGCTAAGAGACGGATGTGTGTATTTTGTTTTTGTTTTTGCATCAAACAACGCAGGAACCAGTACCGTGCTTTTGGCTGAAAGAGAGAGAGATACATCACCCAATGGTTTTAAGAACTGGGACTTCATGTCTGTTCACACGTGGGGAGAGAATCCAGTAGGCACCTGGGCTTTACGAATTACTGATATGGTATGTAGATATGTGTTTGTGTGTGTTTATGTGTGTGTGTGTGTGGTGTGTGTGTGTGTGTGTGTGTGTGTGTTGGGAAAGTCATGGAAGTGAATTTATGGTAGATAAGCAAAGTTCTCAGAGCATGTAGTAGGGGATGTTAAAGGTTTGGAAATGAGCATCAACATTTATCAGGGCATGAAAGGAATGTGACTGTTACTTAGTGGAAAAGTTGGAAGAAAATACAGTTATCCCCTTCACATTGTGACTTTGCCTATCACGGTTTCAGCGTATCCCAGGTTGGTGTAAGAAATTAAATGGGAATTTTGGGGGAGTTTTGCAGAAGCCACAGATGACACAGAAAAAGTTTAAAAGCCCAGAAATGCATAAAATGTGTGCTTAGTATTGTATAATATCAACATATTTTATCTTTTAATATCATGATAATTCAGACTTCTTCTCTGGTATGAAGGGAGGGCCAAAAAATTTTACACGGATTTTCCAGATCATGGGGGTGCTGTGCTCCTAACCCCCATGATGTGGAAGGGATAACGGTATCATTTATAGAACTTTATACATTTGGATGTATGGATAATAGTAGAAAAACAAGCCCAGGGAACTGAAATTTTGCTGGTAACACTGGAAGCCACACCGCATATGCATAAAGTGACTCACCATGGCAAGCCTGATCCGATCATTTTGCTCCTCTTGATGAAGAATGTGAATTATCCCCTGACTGCTTATTCAAATGGCTGAATGATCCATCTACATAATTGGTCAAATTGTTTTTGCCATGGTATAGTATAGATATTATATCTAGTCTAGTGCAATTTAGAGATGTGGGTAAGAAGTAGTAATGTGTAGTTTGATAGAAAGCTGTTCTGGCAGTTAGAAAGAACTAGGTTCAAATCCTACCTCTGACATACTGGCTGTGGGAGCCAAGGCAAGACACTGCAGCATCCCAGGCAACTCTTTAAGATTATAATTGTAGAGCAGCTGCCAGTCTACACTGATAAAGGAAGTTTCCACATTGGAGGAAATGAATACTAATATATTACAATATATACCAATGAAATTACAGGTCTGTATTGGGAAGAAAAAAAAATACAGCCATATTGTGGATTTTCTAAATTCTGTACTTCCATGAAGTGAGATACAGAGGAATTTATTTTTTACTCTTCTCCCTAACACAAAATGATGTTCATGATATACAATCATAAAGACAGAATAGATCAGAATTCTGAACAAAGAACCTTTAGGAACTTAAGATTCTTTTGTATTATCCTTCAAGCAATTACTGGTATATTTTCCTTTAGGACAGGATAGATTGAAAAATGAATGAATTTACTCAGAATGTATAAGATTTTGGGTGTGAAATTTCCTCCAAAAGTGAATTCTTCAGAATCAGAGGTATAAGATTTCTATATCTAATTAAAATGGTATAATAGAAATAAACATTTTCTTGCATCTATTCAGAATTGAAATCAATGCAGCTTTAGTTACTATTTTTTTTAATTCTTGAAAAATAGCTCTTCTTTCCATAAAGCACCTTAATGTTTCAAATTAGAAACAAAGCATCACAGTCCTCTGAAATCACGGTTTGTTGTGTCATCAATCAGATGATGATGAACTATACTACCTCCCCCCACCCCCACCGACAGACAGGTGATGGACGTAAGGTGCAAAATGAGACAGATATTTTTGGACATTGACAATGTGGGACTTTTTTTTTAACTACGCATATTTGTTACAAGTTTTTTCTTTATTTTTTTAAATTGGAGGGAGTGGGAGAAAGGAAAAATAAATGCTTGTTAAAAGAAAAATAAAATGGGGGCAGCTAGGTGGCACAGTGGATAGAGTACCAGCCCAGGAGTCAGGAGGACCTGAGTTCAAATCCAGCCTCAGAAGCATAACACTTACTAGCTGTGCGACTCTGGGCGAGTCATTTAACCCCAATTGCCTTGACCCAAAATAAAATAAAATTTAAAAAGGAAATGAAATATATGAGTATCTTGATCTGTTCGATATAGCAAAGAAGAATAAGTAGAAGACATTGGTACTATTACAGAATGTGCCATTTAACAGTTGTGTGACTATTATTTATTTTGTACTTAGATTTCAGTACATTGTAACTTAATCTTTGTATTATTATCCTTAACATTTTATTAGAGAAAATTATTTTCTCAAATAAAAAAGTTTGCTATTTTCTTTTGTGCCTTTCATTATATGTGGTAGCAAAGTTTCCTTCCATGGAACATACCTCCAATTTTATGATGGGAAAGAAAATCTTGAAACTACAGGGAACTTTTAACAATATGTCAATTCTACAAAGTAAGGCTCACCTGAAGAGTTTAAATGTTAAATTGTCTAGGCAACTAAACATTATTGGCTGGTAGGGTGGGGAGGGGTGTTACCTGGATCTGAAGACAATGCTATTGCAGGTAATTGGAAGGAGCCTAATGATTTCCTTCTTACTACATAAAGTACCATGCTTCTAGATTTGTTCTGGTAAATGTTTAACAATCATCTTGGGGGGGGGGATGTACAAAGGACCCACTTTTCAGTTTAATCTGCGTTATTAATATTTTCTCCACTTAAGTCTAGTTATCAACAAAATCATAGATCAAACCCCCATTTGTAGCATGTCTACTTTTTTTTTTTAGTGGGGGGGGTGCTGAGGCAATTGAAGTTAAGTGATTTGCCTAAGGTCACATGTCAAGTGTCTGAGGCTGGATTTGAACTCAGGTCCTCCTAACTCTAGGGCTAGTGCTGGATCCACTGCACCACCTTGCTGCCCCATAGCATGTCTATTTTTGAGGTGTAAATGCTTATACTGAAAATTTTACAGTTAGCTCATGGGATCAAGCCGGCTCCAGCACACCCTGCATGTTTCTATGAGCTGTTATAATGAGATGTTAATCATGAACCTGAAGGATGCTTAAGGATCTATTTTGAGGAAAGCAAACACATTCAAAGCCCACCACAAATAATATCTGTACTTATTCATTAGTCTGGAAGAATGGAAAATGAAGGAAGAATTGTGAACTGGAAACTGATTTTGCATGGGACTTCCACCCAGCCAGAACACATGAAACAGCCTCGTGTCTATACTTCTTATAATGCTGTGCAAAATGACAGGAGAGGAGTGGAGAAGATGGCCGATTCTGCGGAGGTCTGTAGATGTCTCTTTTCTTTGTAGATTCCTGTGCAGCTACTCTTAAATGACCTACACGGTATCCCGCTGCCCCAAAGGATTAGCGTGACCTCCCTAAAGTAGCTCATTTATGATGAGGGGATAGTTCAGGTACCTAGAAAAACCCAAATCATTTTAAGAGAAAACATGTTTTCTATAACATTTAGTTCCTATATTATTCCTGGCTCACATTCATATATCACTTTGAAATTTACAAAATGTTTCTTTCACAAAAACCCTTAAAGGAAGTTAGTGTAAACATTGTTGCTTTTATTTTTAAGAAGTGGAACCTGAGACTCAGAGAGGTACATTGAATTTCCCCAAGGTCTAATGATTGGTGTTAGAGAGCCTTGAACCCAGGTCTTGTAGTTCCAAGCATAGTATTCTTTCCTCTACACCACACTCCCTTGTTCTCTCCTCTTCCAATCATCTCCTCTTTCTCCTGACTCCTAAGTTCCCTGGAGTTCCATCTATCATAAAGATTTGTTTTAATCTACCCAACTATAAATGAACCCTCTCTCTCTTTTGAACCCACAGAGTACTATTTATGCAACTTCAATTTCATCTATCTTATTCTGATCTGTATTTAAGTTCTTTACATACTTGTAACCTCCCTAAAAGAATGTAAGCTTCTTGAGAAAACGACCATGTCTTCAATCAAAAAGCTTTTAGTAAGCCCCTACTGTGTTTCAGGGACTGGGCTGGATAGCAGGGATACAAAGTTAAAAATGAAAGAGTCTCTGGCCTCAAAAAGTTTACCTTCTATGACAAAGTGCTCAAATACAAATATATAATTATAAATCTAGAACTGGGAGACACTTTAGAAGCCACTTAGTCCAATCCCCTCTTTTTATAGGTGAGGAAACCAGTGCCCATAGAGGTGAAGTGACTTGACCCTAGAATGTAACTGGAGGGTGGGAAGAGGGGAAGGGAACAGTACTGGCAGCAGGGAGAATTCCCAAAAGAGCTTACATAGGAAACAGAATTTGAACTAAGATTTGAAGGAAACTAGAGATTCTCAGAAACAGAGGAGAAGAAGGAATGCTCTGCAGGCATAAGGACAGCCTGCAGTGGTATTACCATGTATGAGGAATAAAAAGAAGACCAGTAGAGCTGGAATGAAGAATGTATGAAAGAAGATACTGTATAAGACTGGAAACATAAGTTGGAACCAGGTTGTGAAGGATTTTAAATGCCAGACATCAATTTAATAAAATTCAATATTGAATGGATGGATAAATAAATTTGCTATTTTGACTCCCATTTTTTCTTGTTTGTAATTCAATTCCCATGATATTTTTATTATAAATGGCAAGATTTTATATGTAAAATCACTTTGATAACTATGAAGTCCTAGGATTATTATTATATTCCTATACCTATGAGGACTGAGATTGTAATTTTTTTTTCATTTTTCTATCCCTTTAGTAGTGTTGGTTTAATTGAATTAAAACTAATAATACTTTTTCAATTCATTAAAGTTACAGATCATACAGTTTAAGAAAGTCCAAAATATGATATTTAAATGGTCTAGTTAAAGTACATGCATACCCAAACTTGAATTAGTCCTTTTTTCTATGTAAGTAAACACTGACAAAATGTCTTATATTAGAGAATTCCTTGAAATCATTAGATTTTATGACTTTTACAATCCCTTCTAAGGCTTTATCATACCTAAAATAAGAATTGGGGGATCCACAGTACTTCTTATCAGTACTAGTTTCTTTTATTGTCAGATTAAAAAAGACTATCTTGCTTTTAAATATTGGACCAGTAGAATAGAGTAGTCCACAGGGGCAGAATGGGGTAATGGAAGGAATACTAGATTTAGAATTGAAGGACTTAGGTTTAAATCCCAATTTTGCTATTTACTTACTGTGTAATGTTGGAAAAATCATTTGGCTTCTCTGGGTCTTAGTTTCCTCATCTGTGAGGGCTTTGCACTAGGTGATTTCCAAAGTCCTTTCATTGTGGTTCAGTGTTTCAGTCAAGTCCAACACTTTGTGACCCTATGTGGGGTTTTCTTGGCAAGGATATTGTAGTGGTTTGGCACTTCCTTCAGCTCATTTTACAGATGAGGAAACTGAGGCAAAGAAGGTTAAGTGACTTGCCCAAGGTTACACAGCTAGTAAGTATCTGAGGCTAGATTTGAACTCAGGAAGATGAGTTTTTCTGATTCCAAGCCTGTTGCTGTATCTACTGTGCCACCTCTAAAGTCTCATGGTAATGTTAATTAAATACATATAATGTTCAAGATGTTATGTTGGCATAAAAGATAAAAAGATGAAAAATAATAATTCCTGACTTTATTAAGGATCTTACAGTGTGATAGCAGGGTTTGAACAAATAAAGAAAAAAGTTTGCTATGAAGTAGAATGAGATAGGGAAAAGAAAAGATTCAGAAAAAAAAGGTACTGTTGCAAAATTTGAGATGAGAGAGATCATTTTTCATCTGTGTAGTTGCTGATGCATGCATACTTAACAAATATTTTTTTTAAAAACCAAAATACCAATGGCTACCCTGTGGTGTGTTTTGTTTTGTTTTGTTCTGTTTTGTTTTGTTTTAGGACCAGGCCACCCCAGAAAGCCTTCATGAAAGCTCCCAGCCCTCTAAAAGCTCCACTCCCCCAAGTGACAGCGACAGCGACAAGCCAGTGGAGAAAACGCCCTCCAGGGCCATGCTCCAACTCCTCCGAAGTGCTTTCAGCAAACAGGGAGCCCCCAATCAAGCACCAAAGAGTCAGGCAGATGAAAAGCTAAAGATCCCCTATGAACATTTCTATCAAGCTCTGGAAAAGTTAAACAAACCGTCCCAGTTGAAAACCGCTGAGAACAATCTGTATAGTGACTATGTGGACCTTTTCTACAACATGAAACCGTACAAGCACAGGGATGATCGGCTGCTCCAGGCTCTGGTCGACATTCTGAAGGAAGGCAACTGACGCGAGGCGGTCTCCTGAGTCGGAAATGTTCATTCTTCTTCCTCCCTTCTCTTATATCCTGCCTGTGACTGATGTAGGTTTTCTGTTTTCTTCATATGATTATGTCCTTGCTTCTCCTTGCTGTCATGTACATGTACACATGCACACACTCACTCAAGCTCACACGTGCTTGCAGACACACACACACACACACACACACACACACACAAACAAACACACAAACACTTGCACCCAATTTAGCACATAAGGAGAGGGAGTTTGCTTCCCACTGAGAGCCTAGCTGTGCTGGGGACAAGAGCTCGATAGAAAACATGTTTTCACAAGTGGAATGTTTTGTTTTGTTTTGTTTTGTTTTTGTTTCTGGAATCAAAGTCCATTGGTGTTTCGACCATCGTATTTAAAATCCACTCTAAGTTGCCTTTTTCCCATTTTCATTTCTCAAAAGAATAATAATTTTAAAAAATACTCTGGGCTACAAAAACATTAAAAACAAACTGCTGCAAAACACCAGGAGATGTGCCTACAGCCTTTTTTTCTGTCCCCTCCATGGCTGTTTCCTGTCTAGCAATGACTTTTAAGATTGTGGTTCTTACAACTAAAGGGCTCCCCAAATTACAAAAAGTCACTTAGGATCATAGATTGAGAGTGGCAGAGGCCCTTCCAGGTCATCCGGCCCCATCCCTCATTTTCCGGTTGAAGAGCTGATCCATGAGGCCAGCCATCCAGGTGGTTAAATGGAAGAGCCAAGTTGGAACCTGAGATGTCCTCTGACTCATTAATTTAAAAATCTAGTGCTCCTTCCATTGTACCAGAAAAGGGGAAATGAATTAAGTATGTGATTAATGTGGATCACTGAGGCACAAAAATGGAGTTTTGACCTGGATTATCTAGCTTACATAGTTAGCAAAATATACCCAACACTTTGAATGGTGTAGAACTAACCATTGGATTAAAACTTAGTGTTTTTCCTTCTTGGTTCTCCTTATTTTGAATTTTTTCCTTTCCCTTTATATGCCCCTTTCTCAGAGCTGCACTTTCAGCTTAATAAGTAGTGTTCTGTATTTCACAAAGCAAAAATCAGGAAATAATTCTGAATGAGAACAACCAAGAAAAAAAAAACACAAATAAGCCAATACATTACGCGAAAGAAGATGTTCTGGTTTGTAAAACGTCAACCTGCTCTTTGGGCTCTAAGACCTCTTTCCTACTCTCTTTGTTTTTAGGCCCCTCATTCTCACTTCTTTACCAAAGATACTAGGCATGAATAACATTAATTAAAGGGGGGAAAATCTACATATGTTATTTTCAGACCGAATCTACACATTACAAAATAAAAGTGAGAATTTGTGTTACACAGTTAATTTAGGCCATATCCATGGAGAGCCAAATCAGATAATTCACAGAACAAAAAACCAGAACCAAACCCAACAACAACAAAAGGACCCTAAATAAGTTATCTGGATGGGCATTTGCATCTCTGTAATAAATGCCAATCCCTCCTTCACTGTGTATGTGCATTGAAGGCTTCTGTTTGCTTCTTGTTGCTGGTTGTAATGCTCCCTATAGCTTAGTAAGCAGTCCCAGGATTTTAAACATGTGCAGATCAGAAAGCACTGTGAAGGTGTGCCTGATTCCACACAGTTTGGCAAAAGGACCTTCCCCTTCCGTAATCCACCATTTGAATTTGTGCAGAATGAGGAAACAGTCAGGATACAGCTCTGATATGATCATGATGCTTACAAACTGTCCTAAAAAAATAAAATAGAATGACCATCCTGTCCTTGGAATTTCCATGTATTATCTGATGTGAAGTGATGTGTATAGTTTTGACAGCAACAGCAAATCAGAGACCCATAGAATGTTAAAGCTGGAATTGACCCTGGTGATCATCCAGTCCAAGTTCCTCAATTTACACATGGGAAAATTGAGGCCCAGGGAGACAAAGGGACCACTTGCGTGTGGTCACACTGCTCAAAGTGATTGTACCAGTACTAGAACTCAGGTCTCCCTGACTCCCAGCTCAGTGCTCAATGTATAATGCCTTCTTGTTAACCATGTTGAATAATATTAATTCATTGTTAAAATCTCAACCACCTCTTGTGCTGTGGCCAAAGGTTCCGCCAGTGAAGCTTTAATACAAAAACCACATCTTGTTTGAATGTTTCCAACCCAGAGTGTGTTGTATAGACATATTTTTATTGTTTGTCTTTCTTGGTGCCTGTGTGGGTTTTTGTGAAAAATGTAAAAGAGGAAAATTATAAAATGTTTTGTCTCAGAATTTTAAATTCTATTTTCTTTACAGGTATTTATAATATATCAAAACTTTTATCAAACATGCAGAATTTTGAAAGGCACAATAAATTATATTAAAGAACCATATGTTTTCTTGAGAATGAGAAAGTTTCATCCAATAAAATATTTTTCAAAGGCATGTTCCTCTAGCAATGATCATACCTACATGTATGTGATGTGATGTTACAATAACTTGTCTTATAGCATAATACAATATGTCAGCGGAGTCCAGAGTGTGTGGTCGTAACATTTTTAAAGAAACTTCAAATGAAGCCCTGAATGTATTAAATAGGAAATGTCAAATATGCTTTTAAGTCAAAAGAGTAAATGGTTCCCTCACTGAGTTAAAAAAAAAAAGATGGTGGGTATGGTAGAAATAATAATAATAAAATGACCTAATGGAACTGTCCCTTTCTCACTTACTGTGTGTTAAAAGGGGATCAGCAAGAGAAAAAAATACATCAAGCAAAGAGAAATAATAGACTTTAGAAATCTTCTGGTTCAATCCTCTCATTTTATGAGAAAACTAAGGTCCAAAGGATTGAAGATATTTTCTCAAGGTCACAAAAACAATGATCTGGTTGAATGTACATTAAGAATTCAGTTTCTGTTGGAGTAACTGATTTTCAATTTTTGTTGGTGTGTGTCTGTGTGTGTAAGTGTGTGCACATGCCCATGCCTATGTATGCATTTAGGAGAGCACTCAATTTTTCTTTTATCAACACTGGAAATTCAACTTTAAAATAATTATGTTTTGCTTACCAAAACAATACAAAGCCCAAAATGACTGTGATAACTGTTAATGCAAATAATTCACCCCTAAATAGCCTGACTTCATAAATTTATGTGCAGAAACAAAATCGACATTGAATAAAAGGCTTCATACCCTTATTATTTACAAACAGCCTACAGGAGGAATTATGGTATACTCTATATCTGTTTAATCAAAACATGTGAGTAATTGTTGAAATACTGCAATACTATGCAAATACACTATACTCCAACACTGTACAAAAATACTATACTCCAGTACTATGCAAATATTATTTGTAGAAATACCTCAAAATTGTGTGGAGATTTGTAGAAAAAAACAAGTATGCTACCTATAGCACAGTACTAGACACTGAATCAGCGTCAGACATCATGATCCCTGTCTTCTTGATGCTTTGAGACCGATAGACAATACTGGTGCACTGAGACATAGGACTAAAGAGATGAAAACTTCATAGTTTATCACATTCGCATTGTGTGAATTCAAGAACAAGCATAATAGTTGGAGCATAAAGCCTGGGAAAATAATGGGAAGTTGTGATTTCAGCACGATGAGATTGTACATACAATTTTTCATCTTATTTCAGGGGGTAGGGAGGCCTTTCAGAATGGCTAGGAATCCAGTTCCATTGGCTACATTATCCCTAAGCCTACTTTGCCTACCCTAATACAACGTTACAAACTCATCAATTTTTTTTCAGAAGGTGCTTCCCTAGAGAAAGAGAGTGAGTGGGTGACATGATGAAATTAGAAGATTGTCCAACTCTTAAGAGGCTAGGATTCATTCAATCAATTAATAAGCTTTTATCAGTCAACTATTATTTACCCAGAACTGTGCTGGGCATTGAGGATAGAAAGACAAAAATGAAACAATCTCTGACTTCAAGAAGATTATGTTTTACTGGGAAAAGGAGCACAACTAAATAGATATAATATGATGTGGGGGGTTTAGGGGGTTGGGGGGAGGAAACACTAGCAGCTGTAGGAATCAGGAATGAGTATGACCACTGAACTGAATTTTGAAGGCAACTAGAATTCTAAGAGCTGGAGTCTAAGAGGGAATGCATCCTGGGTGGGGATGGACGGGCAGACCAAGCACCAGAATTAAAGCAAGAGAGGGAATGTTGCACGTGAAGAACAGGAAATAGACTATTTTGGCTGGACTTTGGAGTGTCTGAAGCCTAAAAAGGTAGGCTAGAGCCAGATAATGAATGGTTTTAAATGCTAAACAAAGGAGTTTAAATTTTATTCTAGACCCAGAAATACTAGATAGCCATTGGAGATTTTTGAATGACCTATGCATTAGAAATTGCAATTTGGCCACAGAATGGAGGATGGTGGATTGGAGAGAGGAATAGTTTGAGACAAGGAGACTAATAAGTGGGTTATTACAACAGTTCAGGAAAGAGATAACGAGATTCTAACCTAGCATAGGGGCCATGTCAGAGGAGAGAACAGGACGGATATTAGACAGGATATGGATGTAGCATTGACAAGAGAAGGCTGTTGACTAGACATAGGAAATGAGTAATAGTGCAGATTCACGATGACTCAGAAGTTGTGAATCTGGATAACTGGATGGATGTTAGTACCCTTGAGAGAAATAAAGAAATTTAGCAGACAATGAGGTCTGGGGAAAAAAGTAATGAGCTCCGGGCAGCTAGGTGGTGAAGTGGATAGAGCACCAGCCCTGAAGTCAGGAGGACCTGAGTTCAAATCCAGCCTCAGACCAAACACTTGACACTTATTAGCCATGTGACCCTGGGCAAGTCACTTAATACCAATTGCCTAAAAAGAAAAAAAAAGCAATGAGCTTGAGTTAGGTGACATTCAGTTGAAAGTGTCCAAGTTCTATAACATTCTCCAGCTAAAATTCAGCTTTGGGCTTTAAAGAAAAGTGATAATCCTTGAGAAAGGGATCTAAGTTATTGAAGATAAAATTATTTTTCTTTGATTGTTCATAGTAGGCATTTATGGAGTAACCACAGGGAATGTTGTACTTTACTAGGCATTATGAGATTGATATTATTATAATTTGACCCTCAGACAATAATAGTTTGGCAGAGAAATAAAATTACACTTGTACAATTGTACAACAGCACAATTGCTTATTTGAGTAAGTACTGAAGGCAAATTTAAGACAATAAAATTGAAAAGATGTAAGCTGTATACTTAAATGCTCAAGTGGATCTGTGATCTCATCAATTTGGATGTTGTCTTCAAAGATGAAGGTCACAACTTATTCATACCTGCCCATCCTGTGCCACTCTTTTTCATCTTTTTCCATAAGTTTGTCATGAGGAGGTCAATCTATGTGTGGGAGGTGGACTTTCTTCACTTCCCGTGGATACCAGTGGAGTACTCAAACAGCAGCCCTGCCATTATCTGTTTTCATCATGTGATCTATCTTCTTTTTCAATCATACATGTCCCTGAATACATGCTTTAGAATGTTTCTTTGAAGTTCTATATTTGCTATATGCTGCACCCTGCTCATATTCATCCTGTGTCTCTCCACTGCCCTAGTCTATAGTCAATAAACATTAATTAAGCACCTGCTATGTACCAGGCATTGTGCTAAGTGCTTATAAGAAAAAGAAAAACAACCTCTGTCCTCAAGAAGCTTCCACTCTAATGGGGGAAGAAAACACACAAAAGGAAGCTGAAAAGGGCAGAGTACGAGAGGGTACCTGGCACGAGGACGTGACCATCGAGGTGTCATGATGTTCAGAAAGTGGAAACTATGCAGAAAGACTGATGGTTAATGAAGTTAGCTAGAAAATCTGATATACAAGAGGGGGAGTTCATTGCTCTGCCCTCCAGCCTTCTAATCAGAGATGAAAGGCAACTAAGGGGCTTGAAGAAGTACTGAGTATCAAAGCTCAATCAGTCTCCTTGATGATGAGATTTCAGGTGATGATTTTATCCCTGGGGAGGCATGATGTTCATGGACTTGAAACCAAGCAGAGAAGCTGATGGTAGTTGAGCACCCTCTGCACAAGTGTCGGTTTTGATTCTTCAAAGACAATAGTGTGCCATGACTTATAGTCATTAAACAATAAGAATAGAATACTGTATTAAAAAGATGTGTCTTTGCTTCTGGGAGATGTTTGAAGTCACTAAGAGAAATTTCCTGAGGACAATCTCACTATCCCTCTTCAACTTGTACTCTACAACAGATCCCTTGTGATAGTGGCAAGCATGTGTCTCCCTGGTTTATACCTTGCATGCTCATTGTATAGAGTGCTTTACA